GCCCCACAGTTTCACCGTCCGTTCCGAGTCTGTGACTGCGGAAGTAATAGTTTCACGGAGACTCGCTATCGCTCGATTTGCGTCATCGAACGTAGCTATCGTCTCGGGTAAGTCTACTAAGTCGTGGGGGTCCAAGGCCTTGAGTTTGACCTCAAGACGATGCCAGTCCACTACGGATTTGGTCGGAGGGACCGCGCCGGCGTTCTGGCCCAGTTTACACAGGACGGGCCTGTGGTCTGAGTCTAGTTCATGGATTGTCTCTATCGACTCGATGTCGAGCAAGACCTCCCTGAATAACATTATGTCTAGGACACTCGGTGACGCGTGCTGGTAGTTGTCCACCGTAGGATACCTAGTGGGAGTCGCGGGAGCGACTATACTGAAATTTAGGTTATCGGATAAGCTAAAGAGATGCTTTCCGTTGTTGTTTGGGATGCTGTTGATGTCCCATGAGCCGTGTTTGCAGTTTAGATCTCCTGCAATTATCACGGAAGGGCCTAAGTTAAGAAGCGTATCTAGGTCGCTTTGAAGGAGGGTTCTATTCCCCGAGAGGTAGGCTGAGACTAGTACAAGCGGCCTGTGGCCGGTGAGCGCTAACCTACACGCGGATGCCTCTATTTGACTTAGCTCTGGAATGTCGAGCAGGCAACAGTGCAAGGACCATTTATAATAAATTAGTGTGCCTCCCAGACGGTTTGCTAACCGATCGTGGCGGACAATATTTTAATTTGCGATTCTGGGATCGCGTACACTAGGTTTCAAGAATGTCTCTTGCACTAGGAAAATATCTACGTTATAATCGCGAAGGAATTCCGCGATTTCATCCCTTTGACCCTTTATGCCGTTTGCGTTGAAATACGAAACAACCAGAGCCCGAGGTTTTGTTCTACCTGCGGTTGTACTTCCCATTAAGGTGTTTTTATGGGTCCAATCAACGACACGGCGGAGCGCGGTTTTATTGCGCGGACTTATTGTTTTTTACGGTTGGCTTGTAAAAGCCCAAAGGGCTTCCACAAGCGTTTTGTGTTGGCCAATTGCCCCAAGACGCTCGTGGCCAGATGTGGCGGTCGCTATTTTAGCGGACAATACGGCGAGTTCCTGCCTATTGATTCTATCTAATAAGCTGTAGATGTTAGCTATTTGCGCGAATGGGTCGTCCCTGCTTTCCGCGAAAACTGACGGCATTGGCTGCACCTGCGGCCGCGGCGCCGTTTGAGAGGCGGGCAACTATTGCGCGATCGGTCGTGAGGCGACCGGGATTACCGGCGCGGTTACCTGCGCGGCCACCTGGGGCTTCGCCCATGCGCCTACGACGGGTACGGGCGCGGGAATGAATCTAACGGGCTTGGGCAACATCCACCGGTTGCTCGCGACTTTTACGATGTCGTCAGTCCACGTACAAGGAGGCCTTCCAACGCAACGTCTTCCGGTTCGAGGGGTCACTAGAGGTGGATTTCTGTGGTAGGGCCACGCGACAGTATTCGTTGTGGTGCGAATGGGTCGGACCGTCCGGACTAGTACCACGACCTCACAGAAGACCGGCGTGAAGTAGAAGTGTTACACGTCTGCGCTTCGTCCGGTGAGTGAGGTAGCCGGGGCTCACTTTATTAAAAGGTGCCAACGCATATGCAAAGCTACGGGTGTTGCAAATGTCCATGGTCGGCGGTTATCAGTTAACATCAGGTGAACCGCCAGCTCGTTTGTCACTTTGTCACATAAAAAAAAGAACTTTTATTTCCCATCGATCGTCAGTTCTGCGAGCGATTTGACCTGCCCATTAATACTATAGGCACAGTAACAAGCCATTTTAAAGGCATCAATTGCCGTCTAATGTGTGTATGGCCTTATTGAATTAACCAGTTGAATCCGGTTACGTGCGTGTCTTTCTGCGGTCGGTGTGTTGTGCCAGTCACTTGACCCGCGATAAGCGAATGAAATATTGCTTGATCGGAGCGCTGTGTTATTGTCCACAAGGAATGGTCTTATTTCGACCGACGTGTCAAATATTATCGCAGCTTTATATAGTCTGCTGCACGATGTAACTATTCTGTTTGTTAATTGAATTTAAGAAATGGAGGCAAAGTCCCAAACGTTCCGAATAGTTTATCGTCTATAAAAATACCATCTCTATATAAAATAAATTTGTAAGGCAATAATAGAAAAAAGACACATTTAGGAGACAGATTTAGATGTCGGATTCAGATGCGGTATTAGATAGGTCTGATTTAGCGATTTAGCTGTTACGTTTAACTAAATATAAATAATAATGCTGTTTTTGGACTAGCAAAATATTTATGTATACTTGTGATTTTTGCTTTGGTTTTACGCATTTTAGTTAACATTAAATTTAAGTTTACATTAAATTGCCTATCCTATTGTATTCTTTATCTAGTATATAGGTAATTTGTAAGTAAGATTGTCAACAGATATTATCTGATATATAATATTCTCGTGTCACGGTGTTTGTAATTGAACTCCTCCGAAACAGCTCGACCGATTTTCGTGAAATTTTATTTTTTGGCCAGGCTGGAGAATCGGACAACATCTATTTTTCATCCCCCTAAATGTTGAGGGTGGTCCGACCCAAACATTTTTTTCTACCCTACAAATAATTTATATGGCAAAAAAAGGTTGCCGGGTTACGGTTATTATATATATAATAGTTCAACGGATAATATATACCCTATCCCATATTATCTGTTGAACTATTATCTATAGTTGAAATAATGAGTTCATGTCAAGTGCAAATGAAAGTTTGAATTTTTGTAAGGTCACATAACCGACAGACACTCACTCTCCGAATAGGCTCAATTAAAGAATTAAAGACAAAAGAATGTGATAGGGCCCAAAGATAATACAGAAAGAAAAAAATATATCGATTTTCATATTGTTATTTTTTTCTTATATTTGATATAAGTTTTTGCCAGCAGCCATCTGCATGTATATATTTGAACCAGTTTTATTAAATTTCAACAGGTTTGATTCTAATAAAATGTTAAATGGCATTGAATATTTGTGGCAAAATTATATTATTTTTTAAAGTTTAAAATATAAGAAAAACAGTTGTTTTGTATTTTAGTTATGAAACCAGAAGGTTGTCGTTTGTTATTTTTTATACTAGATACTCATTTTATTTCATTTTGATTCTGAAGAACTGTTAACACTATACTAATATCTCAGTTTTATTGCTGTACGGGAATTTTTGGAATGATAAAAATAGTAATTATTTCAGATGAAATAAAAATTATTTTATCTGACTAATTTTTTACCCAAAATCGATTAACATAGAAAAGAGAAAAGTCTATTCACTCAACTTCAAAATATTACATCCTTAAATATCCGTAATAATATAATTAAAAGTGCTCCATAAATAAAACAAATATCCGCCATTGCTTGCATTGATTGCTAAGATTCATATTTATCTCGTTGAGTACTTATTATTTTTTTTTAAAACATTGCCCTTACCTTAGGATAACATTATCCTGCGTTGTAAGGACGTTTTACAAACATAAATTACACGCAGACAAACGCCCAGATGCAAAACAACTATCTGGGGGTCACACAAATCGTTGTCCCGTGTGGGAATCGAACGCATGACCCACGACGCCAAAGCCAACCTTGGCAGCTGCACCACGGAGTCATCGCACTTATTTAATGTAGAAATATAGTAAATATAAATTCCAAAAATTACACCCTGTTATTTATATTTACTACAATCCAAACCAACCCAGATAAAAAAATAGAATTTATACGATTGGTGCAACTTCTAAGATAATGACTGTCACGGGTCATATGATTGATTACTGAGAAATTATTTGTCCAATCCATAGATTACTCACTCGTAATTCTCAGATTTTAGGTACATGTTTAACTGCAAATAATCTAAATGTATGTAATGGCATGTTGAAGACCTTTTTTTATGTCATAGAATTAATACAAAATTATTAAAAAATATCAAATGAACTGATTTTCAATAAAAAGAACTTCTAAATTTATCTTTTATTATTGTTGTTTTTTTAATTTAATATATGTCCATTCTTACACCTGTATTATAAATTCGGGTTTTGATAATTGTTTGAAACTATGATGCTATCAGAGAGTGAAAATGAATAGAAAAGTAATTTATATAATAATAATGTGCTAAAAGCGCTAAACTACTACTGCTACTACTCTACAGCATTTAAAACAACGGGAAATTTTACAATTTTTTGATTCCTTCAACATTTTTCAATATATTTGCCAAAATCCTTCTAATTCAGCGCTACTTATATTGATTATATTAATATAGTTCTTTGACTATTTACTCTTACCTTAATAGCAGCATCTATTAAGTGAAGTAAAGGAGTTTGCAATCTATCGAGAGGAGATTGCAATCTTCTTCTTCTTTCTGCTGCCCTTATCCCAAACTAGGTGGTCTCGGCACAGCATGCCCATAATTTATTTTTAGTTTTTAGTTATTGGCTTTTTTTATAACGTCAACCCTCCTTGGGAATTCTAGCGAAATTATATTTATCTAATCCAAAATGTTTTATAACTAGTAGATATACTAATACAGGTACGAAACTTTTTAATATGCACACACTAAAATCATTTCAAAAAGGAAACTTTTTTCCTAATTGTCGTATTCTGTATAAATGCAGTTTAAAAGAATAATTCAACAAGAAGGTACTCCAGGATCGTATCTTGGTCTTCTTTCAGAATTTTGGAGATTCGAAGCCGATGCATCTGTACTTATTCCAATTTATATTAACATGAATGCGTTCCGCAGATTGGTAAACAGGTGGATTTGTTTGGTCGTTATTTATTTGCAGTTTATTTATCCTTTTCGATAGCGGCATAAACACACAAGCGTCTTCCAGCGAGATCGTTTTCTATTTTCTGTCATAGTTCTAAACATATAATTTCTATTGCTTCAAAAACAAGCTTTCTAATTTCTACGGAATTTGGTCCGAAAGTCATTTGCTCGTGATCAAACCATAAGCCTATGAAGTTTTGGAGGTATGCCGCTTGGCTGGGGCGGGCTGTTTGGAGTGTTCCAGGTGACTCTTTAAACTCTGACTGTTGAGTGTTAGAGAGAATATTGCAATCTATATAAATATATCTCTATTTTGTTTTCTTTCATATTTATGTAGGGTTCATTGCCATGAAAACACCCTCGGAGGTCTCCCTCAGTGGCTCGGGGATCTCTTACAGAACCCATCGCTTTCTTTCTTCAATATGCCCAAGTGTACCCCAAGACTGGCATCTCCAGTTCGTTTGCTACGTTAAACACAACACGATTTAGTACCCCACTTCGCGCGTGGGACCCCACTAATTGTCGACGCAATACATACATAAATATTGTGTCATTGTTTTTGTCTTGATTCCCAGAGAGACCAATCGCGCGATGTTTCGATTCAAACGTCGTTTGTTAAAACATCATTGTTTTTGACCGAGACAATACGGACACATGATGCTTTTAAGTGGAGCTCTTTGTATACAATAGTTTACATTCGCAGACTTCTCCGCCGCACGGTTTTCAGAGATTTTTTTCTGTAAAACTTGCACTGCCCGCTGTAATGGCCGCATCGTTTTCGATTATAATTTTAACTGTGTTAATAATCGAGGTAGTCAATGCATACAATTTAACGCTTAAATTTCCCATGTGGTGTACTTTAGGTTTTAAAACGTGTAAATTTAATTTGAATATGAACTTTGATTTTATACCCTAATATTGTGGTGTGTTAATAACTATTAAGTGTGTTATTTTTTCAACACGGTACTAATATTTAGTGCACTTTTGAATATTTGGACGGGAATTTGTAGTATTTGTATTATTTGTAGTAATAAATGCAATGTTATTTTAGTGATATTTTTTTACAATTTTGTATATTTATAAGCTTTTATATATCGTGTAGAAGTAGCTTTTATATATCGTTTATAAGAAGTATATTTTTTTATAATTCATAATACATCTTTGTTTATTTATGTCGTGTGCTATAAACAAGCGGCGTACCAGCTTCAAGATGAGTAAATCTTTCAAATTAGTGGAAAAACTCTGAACGAGGAATAGATTATTGCATCATTGTTTTTAAATTCCAGTCTCTAGCATTACAGCGCGATGAGTTATTTAACAATTACCTATTGCGCCAGCTTTGTGTGTACTCCTTTCTTTTATGGAACGACGATTATTACATCATCAAGGTGCTAAAACTATAACACACGGTGGGGATTTATGTAATTTATCGTTTCAGAATACTCGAGCATCGAATTTGAAGAACATGAGCAAGGACGACTTCCCACTGACGCGGTCCTTGGGTTTCTCCCTCGACTCGAAGGCGGGCAAGAAGCTGGAGGACGCGATGTTCAGCCAGGGCTACTTGGAGCAGTACCACGAGGTGATGAGGGCGAGCCGCGAGTCCTTCGAGAGTTTCGAACGCGACAAAGAGAGGCGGCGCAGAAGGGGCAAAAGCGCTCCGGACCCGGACAGGGAGGGTATGTACGAATATCACCTATATGAAAAGTAAAGTAACAGCCTGTTCATATCCCACTGCTCAGCAAAGGCCACGTCTATACAGAGGGTATTAGCATTGTTCACCACGCGGCCCCACCGCGGAATTTTTTTTTATTATTTCGAAAATGTGCAGGTTTCTTCACCATGTTTGTTTATTTTTATTTTTGTTTATTTTTGAGATGAAAAAACACTGCCCTTACTTTAGGAATATATTATCCTGTGTTGTAAAGGACGTTTTACAAACATCAATTTCACGCGGACAAACACCCAGATGCGAAACAACTATCTGTGGGTCACACAAATAGTTGGCCCGTGTGGGAATCGAACCCACGACCCCCGACGCCGAAGCCAATACCTTGGAAACTGCGCCACGGAGTCATCTTTTCCATCACCGCTGAGCATGTACATATAAGCTATTAAAATTTTATGCATGTATTATTAGCTTTGAATTCCTAAGTTCAGACTACTTTCAGCCCTGTGATAGGTCGAGGGATCAGTGGACAGCTGAGACTGTTGGTGTTAAATTTCAAAGAACACAAGTACATTTTTGGTGAAACTGACGCCCCGTCGAAACAAAACCTTAATCCAGACCGGACAAAATATGCTTATTTAAAGCTTTTGAATATTAAAAGAATAACGACTAAAGATAAACTACGAAACGCCTACTACAAATTTAAAGCAATTTTACATTATTAAAACAATTCTGCCAATGCAGTGAAAGCAGTCTAATCTAAATACATTTGTTTGTACTTGATTTACAGTCAATAGAGATTGCATAGCAACCATCAAATTTATCAACGACTTGCATTTAACAAGTTACATTTATCTGTTAAAATGTTCCCCAAATCTTATATTGACCAGATCTCTTTTAATAATAATAATAATTTTTAGATTATTTTTAATATTTAGGGTTCTTTTCCTTTCCCCCTAACACGAGGGTTTTGTCTCCCCTACCGAGGGCTTTTAGCTGGTTGATTGGAACTTAGGTTTCTCGAGTGTTTTATGTTTATGCTTCAAGTTTAAATGTTTTTAGACGTGACATACCTGATGTCGGTATATGGTTTTACGAACGTAATTTCTACGGTTATCAGGTATAGTGGAACGGCGTAGAGGCGCTGGCCGCCTGCATTCTGAATTTGGCCGACGGCGGGCCCGATCACAAGCCCTCCGCAGGGACAAACTCAACAGTCAGAGTTTAAAGAGTCACCTGGAACACTCCAAACAGCCCGCCCCAGCCAAGCGGCATACCTCCAAAGCTTCATAGGCTTCACTCTTCGCTTATTCGATGTCTTTAATAAACTTTTTTTATATAATTGCTCGTTTGATTTCACTATTAGATAATTTGGTACTTATTCCTCGATTATTTTCGTCCAAATAAGCTTCTGATTAATAAAAAAAAATAAGAGCTGTGATAGCTCAGCGCGCTCGCTTTTAATTACATACACTCAAGCAGCTTAAGTTAGATCCCAGGTGGCAGCACCAAAAAAATTCATTTTAAGTGCTGAATTTTCACGTGCAGAGAAGGACAACATCTTGAGGAAACCTAAATAATCTCGAAATAATAAGAAAAATATTTCGAAGATATGGGAAGACTGCCAATCCGAAGTGTGATTATGCCTTACCTACTATTAATGCCTACCTTCTGTACAGAGGAGGTCTTTCTTTCTTTTTTCTTTTTTTTTAAAGTCTATATGTCCCACTGATGGTGATTGCCCATCAGTGTGACATATTCCGGCTGTAACTTTACTACTTTACGTTAACCTTCTAATGGTGCATATTTGTTTTTTTTTTCTCATATTGAACCACAATGTCTTCTGAATAATTGAAAAGCTTTTATAATTTAATCCGGCTTACCATATGCTCTACTATTACTTTTCGTAATGTCGCACAGGAGTACGCTTTTGTTCGGGAATTTTATGTTTTTATGGAAAAGGAGGTAAACGATCAAGCGTCACGTCAGATGTTAAGCGATTACCGTCACCTATGGACACTAGAATATATTATGTTTAGCTTCTTCTTTCCGTGTTTAAAATGAGGAGGCTTTTACACAGCAGTGGGAAATGTATAGCCTATACATTTTTATTAGTTAATGTACTTTACTTTTTTCTTTCTATTTTTATTTAAAAAATGCGCATAGTTGTGGTAACATGGTCGTAAATATTAATGGTAATTTCTGACGATGTCTTTAAATGCAGCGGGGTTACGGGTAAGTCCCAGCTCATATCACGTCACCTTTTGAAGTGCACGTGTCCATTGTTCGATTTCACGGCTCGTAAATGGTCATCAACGCATGGTTTAACGCGCTCTATATTGCAGGTGCGATCATGGATCATTTAGGAGTTTTTAGCGATGTTACTTTGAACATTTAAATTAAAAGTACCTGGAGGACCGATCTTTGCTCGGTTTGTTTTCTTTTGGTAAATCGTGTATTTTGGAAATTATATTTAGATACAAATTACTGAGTAATGAAATATGCATAATATTTTACGATCTTACCGACGTAATAATAATAAAATATGAACTACTGGTTTTCACAAAAGAAAGAAATTTAAAAAAAAAGAAATAATAATAGAATAATAATAAGAATAGAAAACAAAATAACTAATCGACAAAAAATTAAAAATAAAGAAAGCAATGATCTGGAATCGAAAAAAAGTAAAAAAATAAGTGTGTAAATGATCGTGATACGAACCGCGGCCGTCTGTTTTGGGGCCGCCCGATTAACGACCGAGCTATTATAACATTTTTTTTTGCGGTGAAAGTTTACCGTCATATTCGAATGATATTTTGTCATTCCCTGAAAACAGGGATAAAAGGACATTTTCTAAAAATGAAACCTAGCTAGACCGATTTTTCGCCCCCGAATCTACGCACATACAAAATTTCATGAAAATCACTGGAGCCGTTTCCGAGATTCCAATTATATATATATAATTGGAATCTCGGAAACGGCTCCAGAAATAATAAATATATACAAGAAGTGCTCGTTTAAAGGACATGATTTCAAGTGCTGAAGTACCGAGTGTTTGGCGGGGAAGCAAACGAAATATGGGTACTTAATCATTTATTGCATTTACGTGAATACTATACAGGTTAAAACATTTTATGGTTTTTTTTGCGTTTTATTTTGATTCTATATTCCCTACTTTACGAACCCTTCTAGTGTTCATGGTCATGGTTCAGACGGAGTCGTAAAATAGTTTCATTTAACCATCTATAATACTCGCGTAGAACAAGTAGGGAAACTATTATTGATTATTTTATAGTCACACATTCTCGACATCTCGATGCAGACTTACCTAGTGAGGAGAAAACAGATATAACTTTTATGCATAAAAAAGTATCAGCAAATTGTTGGATATGTTATTCATAAGTTAATTTTAATTTATAATGCTTATTTTGTAAAAATGTATTTTATTTTCACCAAAATTTTGCGCTAAAGTACAGTCTTGTGTGCAATATTATTGTGGTATTCCCGCCATGCTTGGATCAGCTGATAGCGGTCACTGCGATGACCTTTTCCGACATATGGAAATATTAATTATTTAAAGCCAGAGATGACTAAGTTAGCTTGAAGGACGGATGGTTAGAAGTCAGCCCTTCGAATATCAGCGTAATACACTAAATAGTTAATGTTTGACTTACGTAAGAAACGCATTGGTTTTGCCACAGAGCCGTGATAGCTCAATGTCCGGGCGCTCGCCTTTATATATTAAGTATATGATGTACTCGAGCAACCTGAGTTTGATCTCGATGCCGGCACCAATGAAATTGTTAATTTTATGTGCTGACGTATCATGTGCTCAGTGGTGAATGCAAACATAGTGAGGAAACTAGTATGTTTTCGAAATCATAACAAAAAAAATATTTCAAGTATATGTGAAGTCCGCCAACACGCAGTGGGGCCGGGTGGTAGACTATGTCTAATACCCTATGTACAGAGGAGGCCTTTATCCAGAAAATAGGATATGTACAGGCTGCTGCCACAGAGTTCACAACTGTTTTTTTACTTTTTTTTATTAAAAAAAAAACATTGCCCTTATTTCAGGATAACATTATACCGTGTTATAAGGACGTTTTACAAACATAAATTTCACGTGGACAAACACCCAGATGCGAAACAACTATCTGTGGGTCACACAAATAGTTGTCCCGTGTGGGGATCGAACCTACGACCCCCGACGCCGAAGCCAATACCTCGGCAACTGCGCCACGGAGTCATCAAATTTGTGTTCACCTTCGCTCATAGGCGTATGGTCTAGTGCCCACCCCAGGATTTTGGGTTACCGATTCAAATTGAAGTGCAATGTATATATATTAATGAATATATATATATATATATATATGTAGATTTATATATATAGATATTAAATTTCTCGAATTTTCTCTACTATAATATGCATCTACATTTAAACCTTCCACTTGCTATTCTTGCTTGCTTCCTATTGCTGAAAATCGCATTAAAATTCGTTGCGTTGTTTAACAGTTTTACAGTGTTCGATTTTTTTTTTGTAGTAAGGTCCACCCTGAAAAATAGCCCTAGATACGCCAATGCCTCCGCTGACCAAACGTTAATCCGCCATTACTTTCCCATCGTTCCAAAACTTCAGTCACCTATCCATTATCAAAAATCAAATCTATCACCGTGTCAACCTCATCCAAGCTCATCCTGCTTAACGTTCCGTTTACTTTTGAAGAGAAGAGGTAATTAAACAAATTTATATACAAAATTTTACAACAATTAATAACTAAATTTGACGATAGAGAGCATGCGATGACAATTGTAAACATGTATAATTTCTTTATGGCAGCACTTTTTTCATTTTAGTTTTAATTAAAAATATATTTTTTTAATGAAAAGAATCCTATGTTCTATTTGATACCTCTTAGAATATGTGTACAAAGTTTCATGATAATCGGTTGAGTAGTTTTGGCGTGAAAGCGTTACAAACAAACTTACATTCACGTTTTTAATATTAAGTAGGGATGTTATAAAAATGTGTCCGAGACACCGAAGAGTTCATATCAGAAAATCGAATGAAACACCTTTTGAACATGATAAATTATTCGCTTATAGTGACGTCATAGACACAATTTGTATTCTGCGGAATTTATTTAGCAGGTCGGATGCAGAATTTTCTCAAAATGTTATCGAGTGACTAGTTAGGATTTATAATTGTAAGACAAGATAAATATCGAGAAAAAACTGCTGGCACATAGGGATTAAAGTAAACAGATGCTATGCGATAAATTCTTATTTCGTGATATCTACTTCAAATCGCGCCATTGTTTTTATTACATATGATGTTGATAAGAATAAGACATAACGATATTTTATCAACAAAATTCTTAACTTATTTTTACTATTTATCAATGAAATACTCTACGCAAAAAGAACTTACTAATTTTTTAAACTACATAAAGAAAGAGTTTTTCAGAAGCTTATCCGTGCAATCGGTTATTTTTAAACTGTTTTAGTTAAGGATATAATTGAGAAAAAGTTGAGGAACAAAAGTTGAGATTATTTGATAAAATCTTGCGATAAGGAAGTCGTAGTATTTGGATTTGAACAATTTGATAAGCGCTATTGGTTTAAGACAGTTGCTAATGTGAATATTGACGTCCATAAATACCTATTGTACATACCTATATGATAAGTTTATTTTTGGTTAAAACTTTAACTGTTATTATTTCATATACATAACAACATTTTTTTCTTTTATAAATGTCATTAAAATATGTTTAAACACGCAATATCGTTAAATGTTTATCAAATCATTTAAATTTATATACAAAGAAAGTACCTATCTCTTTGCTCCATTTGCAATTTGATTTTGTTCATTATAATTGTAACGGGTGAAAAACGCTTGATAAACGAATATAGACCTGTGTCGCATGATCTCATCATCGTCAAACTGAACTCGTCAAGTTGCACACTAGTAACTTCGGGTAATATGGCCTCGTCAGCCAATACGGCCTACATATATTTAATACGGTGCACAACAAATTGACGGATAGTATCCGTCAATTTGTTGTGCCTTTTCCCCTGAACCTCCCCCCCCTCTCCTGATACCAGTGTTGCTGCTACAGCGCCTATGTCGAGTGCGTGAGAAAATTTAAAATTACCAAAATTATTAATTTTTCGGTAAGTTTTTTTTTTAATATGAAAAGTTGCCAAACGAGCAGACGATTCACCTGATGTTAAGTGAATACCGCCGCCCATGGACATATGTTAACCTCGAGGCTACCAGATGTGTTGACAACCGTTTGGAAATTGGGCTAAAGTTAAATTCATTTTGTTTCTTCAGATTATTATTGTTTTTTAATTACTAGTGCACAAATTTGTAAGTTAGTCCTACACAGGGTGGCAACTTTGTTTAGGCATTTTGTTCAGTATTTTTCTGTAGTTTAATTTTTTAGATTGAAAACGTTCTTGCGGCTAATACGGCTCACTAGCTAGTCGACATCCTTAAGCCGGTTTGCAGCAACAGATTTAGCGACTTACGCAAAACTATTTATAACTAAATGTACGTAAGAGGTATCCCTCAGATTGGATTCAAACTAAATGAAACTTATTTACAAAATGAGTTTCATTCATCACTAATCAGCGCGTAAAACCTACTAAAATAACCAGCATCGCTTATAGTCTACGGCCATATTAGCCTAAAATGTTATAAAAACTATTATTAATGTTATGCGTAGATGCGAATAACTTTTTTTTTGTTTTAGTTTTTGTTTACTTTTAAAATTAATGAACTTATATAATTAATAAATACTGTTTCATTTCACGAATTTCAAGATTTATCTACAAAAAGGCTTATGGTGTGCCATATTACCCGAAGTCACCCTACTCGGAGGGATCTCCCCTCTCTGTTATGCTCTGACGAAGCGGCCGGTTACTGTTTCCACTATACGACGCACTATAAATTAGCTTTTAATTGTTTCTAGTTATGCTTGGGTATATATTATCCAGTTACTGTGTTCGCTTGTCTAAAAAATATTGCACTAGCTCGAACATAACAGTGAAAAAGATATACAGTGAGAGCTTGTTTTTTCGATAAGATTTTTTACGTGGACAAACATTTTTTACGTTAAGATTTTTTTTAATTTGTGTGTATTTGTGGTTACAAAAGTTTCATCGTTTCTTACTTATTAATAATTTCCCGAAAAATTTCGATTATGATAGCCGTGTCAATTATTATTATTTATTACGCGATTAGATTTTGTAATATACAATTATGCGATGTATCGTTTGCCGTAACAACGGCCAAGGCGACTGTATGAACAGGCCTTATGATAAGGAGACCAGATATCTCGATATCGCGTCGATCCTTGTATATAGTTGCACCATAACACCGGTTCATAAGCAGACGTGAAGCGACAATGCAACGTGCGGGTTTGCTCATCTTCGCCTGCCTTCTGACGGCTTCTTACCAGGTCGGTGCCATCACGTATTATTTAACTCTAAGCACGGCGAAGTAGCGTTAATATTTTTGGGATAACATTTTACTAGCAGTGATGCAGCACAGACAGGTTCTGCTGTAGGAAATTACGCATTTTATGGGTCTTAGAATCGTTTAAAAGCATTTTTTTTCACTTTTGTATCTACATCTGGACACTCTGTAAAGTCACCCGTGAGTACGTCGGAAATAGACAATGGTGAGTACTTCTATTTAGCCTTAAGACTGATACGTCTTCCTACAATACCTAACCAATAAATGTAAAGATGTGGCAGAAAATAGATAGAAGCTCTGTTAATTTCGGAACTAAATAAATTCAGTGTAGAGATGCGTGCTTGTACTTATATAGTTATAGATTTTTACTCTTAGTATTTTGCGTAATTTGAGATTAATAACTTTGACGTCGATCAGGCCTCATACACCTCAGCTATTACCGTGACTAGGATTGATATAAAGTACAGACATAACCTTCTAACATAATCCATATAGACTTCAAATTTTTTATTTCTGTAAATTTAGAAACTTTAATACAACTTCGGATACCTTTCAATGTTTTGTTACAAAATGTTTTTTTTTTACTTCGAAAATAGGAAAAGAAATTATCAATAATATAGTATAACTACATGTAATATAGTATTAGGGCTAGAGAATGTGTGTAAAAATGTGTCCGTAAAAATAATATGTAGTATAAAATAAAGTTGTTATTGATGTATGAAAAATATGTAGTATAATATAAAATAAAATAAAATTTGACGACCTGTGCAAATGTGCGGGAAGTCGGTGGCAGTCTGTGGGGGAGGCCTATGTTGGACAGCAGTGGACTCAAACAGGCTGAAATGATGATGATGATGATGATAAAATAAAATTGAAAGAAATGAAAATATTCATTTTTGTAGGGCATGTTAAATAGTGGAAGGTTATAATAATTATAACATATGCCGCTTTACAAACTCCTTTGTTACACGAATGGCCAGGCTCTTCCAGGGAAGTTAGTACCACGTCATTGCAGAACTTTGTCAATTCGCTTGCTAACTATTAACGTAAAAGAGTACATTTTGATATTTTATTAAAGTGAAATTTTTACTCACCAGGGACGAGAAAGTAGTCAGTGTTAAGAGAATTGATTTACAATGCCCATACCGTCGTAAAATTGTTGTAAATATTTATAACATCGTTACAATTACATGCATAATAAGGTAAAAGTTCAAAAATTGCATCCATTTTATCCGTAACAGGGCGCCAAGAGCGAGGTGCATCTTTGACATCAAAATTTCCGGATTGAAAACGCTTAAACCAAATTTGTGCTACTCTCATAGACACTGCGCTAGGTCAATAAACATCACGCAAATTTTTTTCGTGGTTTGAGTCTCATTTTTACCTTTTAGTAGTAAAATTTTAAAATGTATCGAATTTCATTATCATTATCTTCATTAGAATCACTCATCTTGTCCAATTCAATTATCTTAAACTCAATTATCTTAAAACATGTAGAAAAATGTTCAATCTTAAGTGCAGAGATTAGCACTATAAAAAACTTTAAAATTTTGGAATTATCTTTTTTAAAATTTTAACTTTTTACTAATACCAAAACCAGTTAGAGGTATAGCCATAGAGATTATAAGTTCATAAATACTATTTGCGAGTTTTCCCCCAACCTAATATATATAAGAGATTTCCACCGATAATTGAGTCATCATGGTATCTCTGGAACCATAAGGCGTAGAGGCTTGAAATTTGGTAGGAATATTCCTTTCACCGGGTAGAGGTTGGGTCCGCTAGTAAATATGTATTACAGATTTATAAATAACCACGGTGGTAGGGTCACGCGGCAGCCTCGGCTGTTGCACGAATGGGCAGGCCCGTCCGGGTAAGTACCACGACGTCACAGAAGACCAGCGTAAAGTGGAAGTATGATAAATACTTTCGCGTTTCGTCTGGTGAGTGAGGTAGCCGGAGCCCGATTTTCAAAAGGTTGTCAACGCATCTGTAACCCTCGGGTGTAGCAGATGTCCATGGGCGGCGGTATTCACTTAACATCAGGTGACCCGTCTGCTCGTTTGGCAACTTTTGGCATTAAAAAAAAAAAAAACCAAACAGTTCAAAAATACTATGGTTAACACACAATATTTTTATAGTAGTAGGGCTCGAATCCACATCATCTGGCGGTTTGGTCGTCAAAGTAGGAAAAAACGTCAAAGTATTCCTTGTATAGCTGAGAAATTCAAAGACATAAGAATTAGGTCAATAACCTCAAATTGTACAGCACATAAATAGACTAGAAATATTCTTTTAAACTCTGGTAAAGTAACGGATACTGGAGTCTTTTCAGAGATCCGGACCCTGGTAAAGTAACGGATATACCCTGGTAAAGGAACAGGATTCCTTTCAGAGATACGTTGTACGTATGAGATAGTCCGTACCAAGTCGCGGGCGATAGTTTTTATATTTTTTTTTTGGGCTGGATGAGCCGCTGTTGGCCTTAGGGGCCTTTACAGTTCCGACGGGCTTGAGGTGGCCGGACGCACGGGGCGCCTAGCCTGAACCTCGGCGTATTATTATTACGGCGGGATAGCTATAGATCTCTATATTTAAAGCTATCCTCATCTGACGCATCGCCCCGCCGCCGCGCAATTCAGTTACGTACGAGATGTCCCGCAGTAAACACATATCGTGATTCGGAAAAATCGTATTCAAGTGATTATCAACCTTATACAATAAATGATAAGTTTTAAATTGGCGCAGTTGCCCGCTGACAATGCGTTTGTGCGTGATAAGTTTACTTCTTTGTCTCGCACTACACTCGGAACAGGTGACTATTTGAATCGGACATAAAGATCAAAGTTCGTTGAACTCAGGGCAAAAATTTTCTTTTCTTTTCATATGTTATTTTCTTTTTAAATATATAAAGCGTGATGTTCTAAGAGATGTTCTAAGCTGCGTAATAGTTTACTTATATACAAAACCTTGTTTTGATTGTTTGGAAAATGGTGTTATTGTAAAAATACGGGCGGCGTATAATTCAATCAATGCAATTTTTGTATTAAAATAATCGTGTTTGACTTTACTACCCTGGATTCAAAGAAATAGTTATTTGCTATGAGTGAGAAACGAAGAAGTTATGAACTATAAATAAATATGTATCACTAAAGAGAAGCTATAATATGTTCATGATACCGAGTCTCATGATTAAAAAAATTATTGGCTTGTATATTCTGCGTCTTTACTCCTTCCGGCGGTTGGCTGCCATTGAGATCAAGAACTATATTCATTATTTCAGCCTAATTAAGTCCACTGTTAAAATAGACCTCCCCCACAGACTGCCACGAAGCACGATCTTGACTCACCTGCATCCATCGACTTCCCGTACACTTGCACAGGTCGTCCCTCCATCAAGTGGGGGGTCGTCCCACGCTGCGATGGCCAGTACGAGGCTGCCACTCAAGAACCTCTCTTCCCCAACTGTTATCGGTTATATGAGCTGTATTGGCCCATCGCCACTTCAGCTTGCTAACCTCCTGAGCTATGTCGGTTACCTTTGTTCTGCTGCGGATGTCTTCGTTGCTAACTCTATTGCTCTGCGTGATAGAACTTCATTGGCTAACTGATGTGTTTCCGCAGAAGTCGACACCTGCAGATGACAGCTATGTAGCGGCCGTGGTGGAGTACGAAGTGAACAGCAATGTCACTACCAACATTCAAAATTATGTGAATCTGATAAAAGAGGCTGCGGATCAGGTAGGTAATCTTTTCGCTACTACCTACATTAAATACTATTATATTATATTATATTATATTATAGTATATTTTATTATTGTTAACTAATACGGATGACACATCAGTGGATGACACTTTACTGTTGTAAGCTGATGACACTTCACTGGTTAATAGGACCCATGTTGCATTAGAGCAACCAAATGAAATACTAACGCCCGGTTTCAATTTGCAATAGGGAGCTCATATAGATAAATTAGCTAAGAAGTTGAGCGCTGCCGTCTTTGCCATACGCAAGACCAGGCAACTAACAAACGAGACAACAGCTAAATTAGTTTTTTATGCTTAATCTCACAGTATTATGCCTTATGGTGTCTTACTTTCCGCATACGGTTTAGGCACGATATTTGTATTGCAAAAGCAAGCGATACGGCCTTGGTCCAAGTGAGTCCCTTCGGCATATTTTAAAACAAATAAACATCTTAACGCTCCCGTCGCTATACACGCTTGAAAACATCATGTATGTAAGAAATAACATACACCTTTTTCCAAAAAAACATACCACAACGCGTCGGGGCCGTGGTGGCACGTTGGAAATACCGAGGTTAAGACTAGCTAAAACCAGGAAATCTTTTCTTGGTAGATGTATTCCCTTATATAATAGAATAGGTGACCTCCACAAACAATTAAGTGTAAATAATTTCAAACATTTTGTAAAAGCCACCTTAATAGAAAAGGATAGTTCTTTAAATTATAATTATTTATAATGTCGAGGAATACATTGCGAACAAGGATGTGTGGAAATGACTCTTGCTCTGCACTTGCCCTGTCCCTTAACAAATTACTCCACGGATAAGTTCTTGGCTTCCCAAAGTCGCAAACCTCTTAAGCCCAGTGAATTTGCCCAAACAGCTATGTGATTATTCATATATTTCTAAAATAATAAATAAATTTTCAGTCAAATAATTATCAAATATGAATGATACATTGCTAAGTTTATATAAAAACGTTTCTGTTTAGTATCATCATCACTGTTTTCAACTTATATAAACCTACTGCAGGGGATAAGTCTTCTCTTCCTTTATAGTTTTTTATCCTGGGACAATCCCACGCGAAGTATTTCCGCCATGGATCTGATACCAGAACCATTTGGAGGTTTAGATAACTAGACAGTTGTTTTTATATACTGACTGACCCGGCAAACGTTTTGCCATATAAATTATTGTAGGAAAAAAATGTTTGGGGTGGACCACCCTTAACATTTAGGCTGAAAAATAGATGTTGTCCGATTCTCTACCCTGGCCGATATGCATACAAAATTTCAAGAAAATCGGTCAAGCCGTTTCGGAGGAGTTCAATTACAAACACGTTATACGACAATTTTAATTTTATCGCTTTAGAACGCCATCTATTAAAAATGATCGGCACTTATTTAAATTATCTTAAATTGTTTATGACCAATACACGTTAAAGTTCAAATTTAATGACGTCTTGAACGAAGCTGGTAGTGCAACCCGCTAAACTACATTTAAAGAAAATGAATCCTTGTTATGACGCCTAGGTGTCTCTTTAAAATGATCAGGCGCTGTTTTCATGCCTCAAAAATTGAGTATAATACTAAATTGTTCATTCAAAGAAAAACTTTAAGAAATCTTTATTTTGTTTTCCATTCCCGAATAGAAAAAAAGTGTGATTAAAATAGTATGTGCCACACAAAAATGTGACCGTGATCTTTAGCCGTACAGTAAAAATCTTGACGACGGGAAATGGAAGTCTTAACTTTGTTTACGTGGAACCACGGAGGCAACTGCATGTTTGAACATTGCTTTTCTGTGAAGTGAAACAATGTGTCGGATTAAGTTACCCAAAGCTAAATCGCTAGAACCATGTTAAAGGGTTTCTTTATGTGAGAAGGATGCTAGAGTTGGCGTTGTTTTAACACCCGTAGGCATGCGGATACGTGGCTACATTTCAATAAAACAGGCCCCGGCTACCTCAAACATCAGAACAAAAGCAGAACACTTCCACTTCTCGCCGGTCATTGTGTGGTGGTGGTACTTTGACGGACTTACTCTGACGGACCTGCCCATTAGTGCAACAGCGAAGGCTGCTGCGCGGCCCTCAGTTAAAGTTTACACTGGGTTTCTACTTGGAATAACCGTATGTTCTCGATATTTTCAGAATGCAGACATAATAGTGTTCCCCGAGATGACCCTAACGCGTGGACAGCGCCGTGTTTTGATTCCGTTTCACGGCATCCTCAAGCAGTTCCCGGTGCCCGCAACCCGCCCCGATTTATACGATGAGGTAGTGTGCTTCTACACCTCTCCTAAAGGTCAAAAAATACACACACACATACTTGTTGGTATATTAGATGATAAAGGATTTTTGTGTCAAGGTTTCGCGGGCACAAATATCCTTGATTTTGCTAATCGCTGTTGATAATAGAGCCAATTCATCGAAAATTATTAAGTGCATACGGCATCAAAAAAAAAAAAAAAAGAAAGAAAAAGTACAATCAACATTTTCCTTCCCTGGGTCAATTGATTCATTGTTGCAGAACGATATATTTACGATTGAAAAAAATTTAATACGTTTTAAGTGTAACCTTTGAGTAAAGGCCCCTGCAAACTGTGATCTCTTTCAAACTTTCCGATTTCTCTGTCTCAAACTTTGTGTCTGGCTTAAAGCAAGGCGAAGAACAGATTCGATAATGAGCATCAAACCCCTCAGCCCGTCCGTCGACTACGAATGCTACAAAGTGAAAGTGTAGAATTTAAATTTAAGAAATGATAAAATTCTTAAATATCAATGTGTAACATTAGAGTACATACATTATCCCATTGCTCTTGCTGGTGAAATGTATGTGAAGTGTAAATTGTCCACAGATCCTAGTGAGTATTTCGCAGGCGGCGCTCGATCATCAAATCTACGTGGTGATAAACGTCCAAGAGCTGATGGACTGCAATGACGCGTCCGAAGAATATTGTCCAGAGCCTAAAGAGTACTTGTTCAACACGAACGTCGTGTTCGACAGGACTGGTTCCGTAATTGACAGGTAGCTTTGACGATGGACGTCAGTCAGTATTAATGTTTTCTTTTTTCGGTAAATTTTCTATTACGTGTGTTGTTAACATTTCTTGGAAAAAATGCAGTAGTAAATTGAAATAAAAAGAATTGTAGTGAATACAGGCTACAATGTCAATGACGTGGGTAAACTTAATCTATTTGCCCCAACCAATTATGTTTTAGTAAAGATGACACATACTGTGCGCTGTATATACCTGTATGTCATATAATGTGAAAGACATTGTGGATATATTAGTGAATGTGACAGATGATATAGACCGTATGATCTTTAAAGAGATAGCAGTCTAATTACACCATATTGCTATATTTGAGTGCCTCAATTTCGGTGTGCTGGTGTCATATCTTTATATATAATATAATATCTATATATATATATCTTATATAATATCTTGTATATAATATCTTTGCGTTATCACCAAAGTTAATAGTCAAGTAGTTTATAAATATAGAGAGTTTTTCGTCTACTTATTTTAAGATAGCGTTGTCGCAATAAATTTAAAAATTTGTTTAGAATACAAGAGGAATCTCGACTATAAAAAGATGGAAGCCAGGACTAGGATAGGGGTGGGAGTCATTCAATTGCTTCCAATGTTAGTAAAGTTCATAGGCGTATATAGCACTAGACAATACTCGGGAGGGCCATACCCACCCCAGTATCGTCTAGTGCCCACCCCAGGATTTTGGGTAACTGATTCGAAATTCTCGGCTGGATACCCAAAAAAGTTCTTAAAAAAATCGTTGAAATCAAATAGGTTTCTACAGCCTAGAAATCTATTATATACTTAGTCTTTATTACATATTATTTTTCAATACATTCCGTTTATATACTTGAGAATACACAACGTACTAACTACTAATTAGTTAATACTATTATCATAAATTAATAAAAAATATTAACGATAACTAATAATGTTAATTTTTTAATGCGACGCATAGTGTTCGATTTATTTTTGTAGTAAAGGCCCAGGTCCACCCTGAACATTAAATTCTAGATACGCCAATGGTAAAGTTACCCTCGATTCTAGGTATATTGTTAATCAAGAACGACGAACAATAAGTCTAATGAATGCAATGTTTCCACTTCCAGATACCGCAAAATTAACTTGTTCGGCGAGTTTACGCGCACGCCGGCTTTGAAGCCCGACCTGGGCGTGTTCAGCACCGATTTCGGCGTCACCTTCGGCCACTTCATCTGCTTCGACCTCATGTTCCAGGTGCCGGCTGTTCAAGTGGTGGAGAAGCACAACCTCACAGATATAGTGTTTACCACAATGTGGTTTTCTGAGTTGCCATATCTTACTGGTTTGTGCACTGTTACTACTACTATTGCTATTGCTTCTTTTATTCCTCATCATAAAAGTCTAACGTCAATTTGGTTTATCCAATTCAAAGTCTATACAAGTTCACGAATTCAGATCAGTACAGAATGATTTTAAATGACTCTTGTCGCAGGGTCTCACGCGGAATAAGTATTTATGTGACCTGAAGATACTTGTTCCGGATCTGGATATTTGTCCACATACACAGTATTGATAATAATTTTCCTTCATTTAATAAAGGACTCGAGTGCAAAGCGGCAAGATTTTTCAAATGAATTCAGATTTACGGTCTTAAAAAGAATCTACGTATTTTCAGTACATAATCTATTGCTTTCAAACATTATCAGTGATTGCAGATTGAGAGCAAACATACCAATTTATACCAAACTCTCGCATTTAAATGTGATAATCTTGCGGCTGTTTTTACTTTGTTCTGAGTTAGGTTTTATTTACAGCTGTCCAAATCCAACAAGCGTACGCCTATGCAAAGAACGTCAATTTTCTTGCGGCTGGAGCGAACAACGTAAGAGCAGGAAGTGCTGGTAAGCTATAAATTGTTTTGGCATAATATACAAATACAATGTCTCATTGACACTCACCTCGAAAATTTTTTTTATTATTTTTTTTATATTACCAGTTTTTCAGTTTACAATATTGTGTACAGTACAGTGTACTCGTAAGGTATATCCATTGTACAATTGTACTGTTCGAATTATAACCAACCGTACCATGTGATAACGATTTTATTTTACTGACTTCCTTTTTAACCCATTCCGACTGCGCCATGTGATGTTCTTGTGTTCGGGAGCTTTTATTATAAATCAAATACAGTAATATACTGAGAGAACTATTTATTTAATTTTATTACAACAGGAAGTACACTTATCAAGTAGCCATTTCTTATGTCTCTCTTGCCATATGCATAGACTTATTGTTTCTTAATATTATAATGTTGCCATGACATATGTCATTCAGTCTTAAGTGATAATACTATATGGGTAATAAGTATTTGATGATCAAATAGGTAAGAGTAATTAAAAACATAAGATAATGCATAATTATTCACATTCAGGTTCTGGCATTTATTCTGGAGAAGCTGGCACTCTGGTCAGTGTGATGCCAGGCGTACCCACCACGCGTCTGTTAGTGTCTAAAGTGCCCAAAACACCAGGAAAGGTAATTGTTAATGAGTAAATCCCTGTTAGTTTTAGGAGAACTACTTCTTCAAACGTAACTTTTTTACAGTGCTTAATAAAATATATAGATAAAACGATATGAGATATAGTGTTAAGAGTAAGGTACTACGAGCTGGGATGGAAACATCTTCATTTCTCAAAATAGTTTATTACAAAAAAAAATGAAAACTTCGTGAAGGTTTTTTTTATACTTTTATTTTAGATATCAGACTCATACAAGTCTTTACTTACAGGTTAAAGAACCTTATCCAGGTCCGATTAGTGATGATCCAAAATCCATGGATAATCTGGTGCTGATCAGTGACCCATCGCTGCCGTCCCACGTCAGCCGCCCCCTCGTGCAGGGCTCTCAAGAGTTCGTACTTACCACGAAGGAGGTCTCGTGCAAATTCAGGGTCAAGCTGCGATTTAGAAATGGGGAACAGGTGAATTTAGAGCCTAGCCTATTTATGCATGCAAGATGTTACATCTATATAGAAATGTTTTCGCTTAGTATAATCAACATATTTCATACATTTATTCGATAATGTTACAAAACAACTGGCGATATATATATACGTAACTAATCGCTGTATGTAATTGATGATGCCTAATGGGAAAACACGCCAGCATGGAGATTATCTTAGCGTTAATATGTATATCCGTGTTTGTCGTTTAAATCGACTGGCATTTTCATGATAAAAAGCAGATCAATGCAAATACATTTGGTTTAAACTCGTTCATCTTTCCCCGTAATTAATATTATTAAAATTTAATCTTGGATTGACATTTGTCCTAGGATATAATTAAAAATATTGACTATCAATTAGATTGATATATTTGCATGGGTTATTTGTTACATATAAGGAATAAAACAGGGCAGGAAATGCTTAAAGTATGTATAATAAGTAAGCATAGCAGATAATTTAACTTAACTTTGAGGACATGCTTAATGCCTTTGTATTTAACCTTGTTTCATAATTAACTACGTACGTTTAAAGATAGTTAAAGCATGGGCAATAGTGTGTTACTTGCGTAAAAATTTCCATAATACAACAATCCAACGCACTGCATGATAATTGTTCCTGTAATATTAGTGCATGCAATTATTAGCTATTGTTAAGAGTAACACAGCGGGTTTATATTTAAGGTAAGTTAATAAATTTACTGTTCCATATTTAGTGACACATTTGTGTCGTTATATTATTTATTCAAGCTTTTATTTTAATCATTTATTATCTAACATTCTTTTACCTATTACTTCTTCTATTTTTACTAAGAGCCTTCTTCTATATCTACGAAGAATGTTTATAAATCAAAGCTATGTAATATATAGGTGTAAAATTTTATTTTGAGATATTTGAAAATTTCAGGGAGCGCATTTCAGGGCTATGGTGAAGGATGGTATCAATACTTATTCTCGCCGAGATCTGGGTGTAGCAGCGTGTTTAGTGACAGCGTGTAGAAACGACACAGCAGAAAGCTGCCCTTACAGGTAGGTTATTTGTTTGGATTTTATTACCCTTGAAGACACAAGGTACATCACATAAAAACTAAGAATGCGTACCTTTTTTATATACGTCCAAATTTTATTAAGGTATTTAGGTCTTTTTTCATTTAATAAACACTACCCCCACTTTAAGCTATCCTGTTGTGCAGAGGCTTTTATAGCGTATTTAATACTCGAGCCTCCTGGGCTAGAATCCCGTTGCCGGCACCAATAAAATTGTTACTTGTAATTTAGAGTGCTGACTCATCACTTTCTCAACGGCAAACGAACGTTATCGACGAATAACTTCGTGAAGAGGGTATGATGTATATAGAACGGAATAAATACTGAAATTTCGATCAACGGAACTGTAGCAGTAGTATGAGCTCTAAGCCGGATGAGTTTATAAGTTATGAAAACGGAATTACGATAATCAATAAGGTAAATAATAAAAATACTTAAAAAGAACATTTGAACATTTCAGATTCAACAAAGGCGAAGAGAACGTTGAGATAGAAGAACTGGCAATAGAGATGACGACGTACCGCCTCCACTACAACACAAGTCTGCAATGCGATGACATCGTTTACTTTCCAATATCGTTTAGAAATAACAAATTTCCGTTAAGTGCCAAAAATTTCACATTCACGATCTCCCCGAAGATGGCAACGGGAGAGAGTTACAACTTGAAGAGTAGATTAGGACAGAAGGAGCACTTGTCTTACCAACTGAACGCACCGCAGACTGACCTCGTTGCGTTTGGAGTATGGGGCAGGATTTACAACAGAGACGTCGATTTCAACAAGCCCACTACTGCGGAAGACCTACAGAACTATTTGGAGATAGAGGACTGGATTTACAAGAGGGATAAGAAAGACAATTGACGATATATACTCTGAACAGAAAATATAGACGAATGAATACGGTGAAATTAGTTTTCGGACACTGAAAGAAATCTGATGTGCTTAATGGTTTTGTGCCAAATAAGACTTGAATTATAACGTGTAATGCTCTGAAATTTAATCAATGCACGTTGCTTATAAATATATCCTAATATTCCAGTTGTTTCCGCCTTTTGTCTTATTTTATGCATGATTATTTAATATATTAGACATATTATTAGGTATTGATGTCTTTCAATGGTGACGTGATTTTTTAACTTCCCCAGTTTTTTTTGCAACTGTATAGCAAATAGTGTATTGCAATATTAACAATATACTCGTCATCTTGCAACTCAAACATGAAAAATAAATTGTCCCCTGTGAACTGTGGTCGGTAAAACTAATAATTTTGTGTAAAATCACATAGAAGGCCATGCTACCCTGATTTTTGAATTTGTTGTTGCTATCTGAGTTAGCCGTTATATATAGCTCAGCGTCCGGGCCCTCGCTTTTAATTCAATAAACTCGCGCAACCAGAGTTCAAATCCCAGTGCCAACACCAAAGACATTGTCATTTTTAAGTGCTGAATTATCGCGTTCTCAATCAATCGTTACTCCTTCATTCACTCATTCATTCACCCCTAACGGACTGAAAGAATACAAACCTTTCGCTTGGTATAGGTATTATTTTACCATCATCTGTGCATTATCAAGTTCACCAATCACTCACTGGGCTCAACGCTGGTGTGAACAAATCAACCGTTAGTCCGTCATTCACTCATTCATTCACCCCTTAATGGACTGAAAGAATACCAACATACAGTGAAACATCCTGAGGACACCTGCATATTTATGAGATAAAAGCACAAAAAATGTAAAAGAATGTTTCCAAGAAATGTGATGACCGCCAATCATCGTAAGGTGGACTATGTAGGAGAAGTGTGTCGAGCTGTGGGTGAAATGGTCGCCATTCTAATTAATCACTGTATTGCTCGAAAGTGCTGTGGGTATGTAATGATAGAATGTTGACAGAATTGTCCGTACACTTGAACATGCCATTTTCTTAATATTTTATTTTAAAATGTCGAAAAAGATTTATGTAAGACTTTGTTTTATTAATTATTTTCATATAAATTTATTTATTCTTATTTTTTGTATGCATATCTTTGACTCATTTCAAATATATATTTCTTCAAGTAACATTTTTTTGGTTGCCATAGCTGTTGCATTTCATACTGCACCAATAATTTTGCACATAGCAAACAATGTTGTACGCAATTCTAATTAATTGCATAACTAAGGGAATTATATTATGGCCAATATAATGTTTAGAAAGATAAAAGCATTAAAAATGAAATCATCAAAATCAAAAAAAAAACTTACCACGTTTTTGGATATAACAGCCTTACCTAGTATACTCTAATTACAGCTTTTGATAATTTCGCTAGTAGTAATATCTGAGTAGAAATCTTTGTAGGGAGAATTAAAAGAAAAGTAAGAACGGTAAATATAACATCCGCGGCCCCTTGAGAAAAAAATGGTTTATTTTAATTAATTAGCTACTTATATTTCATGAGATTAACTAGATAACTTTTCATAAGGTAAGAGATTTCGGAAGAAGCTATTTTATTCACATCCGTAAATTTGATACAGTGGGTTCGTAAAGATGTGAAATCAGAAGCCTGCTATCGCTAGAATTACGCTGGCATATTCACACACATACTTTCACCCTTTCTAATTTTGGTACAATTCTTTACAGTATTACAGGTACAGGGCGGGGGCCATTGATGGGGTGCGCACTTTCAGTGGCATGGCCACGGGCGGCGCCAGGACCTGTTCCGTGTTCGCCTGCACAGGAGACACCATCGACACATGCGGAAGAAGGTTTGATATTCTTGCTTTATTTTGAGAGACGGTTTTTGATTTTAGTCTGTAGATTATAAAAGATTCATCGAATGCATATACAGGGTGTTACAGAAAGATGTTGTAACATTTAAAGGCGTGTGTATATATCAGACTTTGAATCTAATGGCATAATTTTAAAATACGAATCTAAGCATTTTTTGACGATAAAAATTAAAAAAATTATTAACTGTAACAACCTTGATTATAGAAGTCACTGACCGCGCATCGGTGTTATCACTCCATACTCACACATGCATACATCTGATCGCCCGACTTATTCCCCTCTCCCTCCACTCCTCGTTACGTCATTACCCCACTTCCCGCTCCTCAAGTTTATCGGTCCCCTCCGCCCGCTCCTCGCCAACCAAACTTTTATAACGACCGCATCGCGCTGCAGGTCCTGGCGATGCTCTAATACAATGAAAGACCGTGTTATCATCAAATTTTTTTTAATTTATCGGATTTTGTCACAACAGAAAGACACGAAATAGCTATACTGATAGTCCATGAGCCCTACTTAATATGTTATTGATAAAAGAATAGGTATTCATTATCGGGAAATAAAACACAGACACTATTTTTACTAAGTTTATTTTTCTAAGCAAATATCCGCGTCATACCTACATAAAAACAATTTTACATGGAATTTATAATAGAACCCTATAGTTGATCAAACATATTCACAATTTCCATGTAACTTATAATTTTTTAGTATTGAGATTTTGAATTAAACATTAAATCGCTTGCAGCGGAAGGTACAAACATTTTGGAAGGTTACAACTTACAAATCTTACAACGCCGATAAATTTATTCAACACATCATCAATGAGAGACATTATGTTAATGGCAGATACATAATACATAATGATGACTAAAATAATTTTCCAATTAAGTTCAATGTAATTATAAAATATAAAACAATAAAATCTTTATTTTAAATAAATAACCTATACCTAGACATTCCAATGAGAACAGCTTTTACTTAGAAAATTCGTGCTTATCGGTGTCGGTCGGTTCCATTACGCGATACTATTCTTTCACTGTTATAGCACTTCAGCACTTGGGATAGTCATTGTCACTAACTTAAAACACACCAAGGTCCGAATAAAAATTCCTAAAGCATCGGGTAGCTTCGTTATTTGCGAAGATACGACGCGTATAGGGCGCGGGCGCAGACGAGGGCCTATCCTTCCAGCTCCTTTTGAACACAACTGGCAGCTGATCTAAATTTGTTTCAGTATTCTTGATTACTGTCTTTTGGCGTTTCTTCTTAACTCTTATGGCTTCCTATGTTTTTGATCTGTCTGATATGACTGATCATTAAGCAATTTCTAAGCATATTAGCATATGCATTTCTTTCATCAATAACTAATCGAGAATAAAAAATAAAAATCACGAACTTGTCTTCACACCGTAATGTCTAAAAAGTAACTGATTTCATTAAAAGTTTAAATAACACAAACGAAGCGACGGCATATTTTATGTATTGGACTACCTAAGCGGCATTCGGCTGCTTATGTCGGTAAGTACATAAGAAACGTTTGTTGAGGACTATTTCGCCGCTCGCATAATAATGTTACCATGTCTACTGAGTAATATTACAGGACGGGAGAAAATAATTGGCTATTTAATTTTCAAATCAGCATAGCTACAAAACAAAAAGTTTTTGTGAATCAACATTTAACTATTGCTGGAAGGTCAGGTATTCTTTTAATGGTATTTTACCATTGACTTACAAAAACTAAACAAAACTTTAAGAATCTAGTTAACATTCTTTAAAATACCAAAAAATAATCCTACTCGATATTTAGAGCTTTTCGGTCATTTACAAGTATTATTTTAAGCTTAAGTTATTTTAACTATTATGTAGACTATTCTCTTCTACTTCATGAGGAAATATGAAAATTTCAGAGCAAAATTATTTTCATGTGATGGCAGCTTACAGTTTTGTTTATTTTTCCTATCAAAATTGTAGTACAAAGTACACGCATACACATTCGCCGGAAGCATTCGTACGAGGGAAGCCTCCGTTGTTCCGATGTTGGCCTGCCATCAACAAAGCGTTGCCGATAACGATGACGAGCTTGACGACAACTTCCATCTGCAGCACCAACACATAATATCATGTCATAATACTCAGCGTTAGAGTACGATAAAGACATCTTGAAATATGCAATCGAAAATAAACAAGGAATAGCGACTTCACACCGTGATAGATTGTGAGCAACTGAAAGTGAAAAGTGAAATTAAATAAAGTTTAAATTTAAACTTTAATTTAAAAGCGAAAATAAGATGTCTTTACCTTTAGACAAGTGACCGCCGATCAGCGATTGGCCCGCGGTGCTAAGTTAAACAAATAGGTTACCTACGAGTTAGACTTTTACTCGCCCTTTGAATACACCGACAGTCCACGTGGACGTCGTGGAAATGACATAAATTAAAAACACAACGACAGTAAAAACTAATAATTATTTCTTTCGAGAAAAAACTACTCTTGTCACTGTACTTTAGAGCTGCTAGGGAACAAGTACCTATCCAGCGTTCGTAGTATTTTAAAGTAAGACTTATGGTGTTATAATGGAAAAAAGAGTATGCATAATTTATGTATTATAATTAGTGTGAGAATGATATTATAAGTAATCTTTATCTGAAATCGATCGACCAAACACTAACTTTAATTTATGACCAAATTTCTAATACATAAATGGGCTTTCTTTTTTGATTGTAAGATCAATGGCTATCATAAATTCATAGAAGGAAGCCGTATATTTAACATTATTTTCATATTTTTTGATTTTTTGTATTATTTAAATATATAAAGGTAAAATTTTAAAAACAAAATAAATGTCTTTTCTCATTTATTTTTTGTAGTTATTTATTTATTTAATTTTTGTAATTATTTATTGTCTTACCAAATCAATACATTATTTTAGTATTTTAGAGCAGAAAGTCTCTAATAGAAAAAAATCTTATGCATAGTAAAGTAACGGTTACAAGTTACAACCACGACATTTGATTAAGACGACTGGTGGGTTTTAAATACAAGTAGGAGTTGTTATTTTCTCATCGTTATTTTCTGTTCAGCAAAAAATGAAAATATGATTCAAAACACTCGTTTCACAGTTCAATGACAAACCAGTATAAATGATGTGAACTGAATGTGTCTTATTAAAATTGAATATTTAGAAAATTTATTTATTAGTTTCGGTATAAAATTTCATGTATTAATTCTCAATAAGTGTATACAAAATCCTTTACAAATAAAAGTAAAAAAAGAGAATTTCAAAGATCCAAAGCTACCAGTTGTGATACTGCGAACCAATTACACGTGTTTTGAATGACCTTGTCACTTTCATCAACTAGGTGGATTGTCGGCGCGTATAACAGTTAACAAAGACCACCTTTGTATTTACCGCGCTCGTTTCAACTAGAGTTACCAGATGTACCGATTCTCGCGGAATATCCCGATATTCAGTGGTCCGTTCATCCAGAATTTTCATAGACTCCTTAGTCTTTACTTTGAGTTAGAAACTTAGAAAAATGGATACATTGTAAGCTAGCATTACTTTGGCATTAATATTTTTCATTGAAATTTTCATATCGTTTTTATTTTCCGGCGTAGTGTGTCCTCGATTGAAGTAGTGAAATGGAAAGTTTAAAATAAAACAAATACTTGAAAATGAGTCTAAAAGTTTCTAAATTAGGTAAAGCGATTAAATAATCACAACGGTTATCTTTTAATTTCGTGATATTTTAAAGAAGGTCAATTAGTTTCTTAGTGTTATTTGATTAGTTTTTGCAGTAGTCAATGGTAGAATACTATTAAAAGAAAACCGAAAAAAAGTTGTTTATTACTTTATTGCCAATTATACCGCCGTCCTAAAATTTTACTCAATAGACATGGTAACCTTATTGTCGGCGCGGCGAAATAGTCTTGCACAAACGTTGCTTATTTAACTACATAAGCCGACTACCGCCTAGGTAGGTAAATAAATAAAAAATGATGTCGCTTCCTTTGTGTTACTTAAATTTTCAAATCAGTTACCCTCCAGCCATTTAGGCATGAAGTCGATTTCATGATTTTTATTTTATAGTTATCGATTCATTATTGATAAAAGATTCATTATTGATTCATTATTGATGAAGATATTATTCAGTGTTGCGGATAGAACGACCATCGATTTACTTTGAACTTTTCAACTATACCAGCTTTTGACGCAACTGTCGCTTCTACGAATTATGTCTGCAAAGATGTTCTGGACGTATGCGCGTACTACGGGAGGCTCGCCAACTGCACCACGAGCATTTGCCACAAGCCGAAACAAGTATGCAGCGAGCAAGAATGCTGAAACAAATTTAGATTAACTACCAGTTGTGTTAAAAAGCAGCTGGAAGTATCGGCCGTCGTCTGCGTCCGCGCCCTATACGCTTCGTAGCTTCGCAAATGACGAAGCAACCCTTGACCTTGGTGTGTTTTAACTTAGTGACAATGACTATTCCAAGTGCTGAAGTGTTATAACAGTGAAAGAATAGTATCGCGTAATGAAATCGACCGACACCGATAAGCACGAGTTTTCTTAGTAAACGCTGATTTCATTGGAATGTCTATGTATAGGTTATTTATTTAAAATAAAGATTTTATTGTTTTATATTTTATAATTACATTGAACTTAATTCGAAAATTATTGTAGTCATCATTATGTATTATGTATCCGCCATAACATAATAATGTATCTCATTGATGATGTGTTGAATAAATTTATCGGCGTTGTAAGATTTGTAAGTTGTAACCTTTCAAAATGTTTGTACCTTCTACTGCAAGCGATTTAATGTTTAATTCAAAATCTCAATACTAAAAAATTAAAAGTTACATAGAAATTGTGAATATGTTTGACCAACTATAGGGTTTTATTATAAAATCCATGTAAAATTGTTTTCATGTAGGTATGACGCGGATATTTGCTTAGAAAAATAAACGTAGTAACAGTAGTGTGTCTGTGTTTTATTTCCTGATAATGAATACCTATTCTTTAATCAAAAGAAAAGTCAACATATTAAGTAGGGCCCATGGACTCTCAGTATAGCTATTTCGTGCCTATCTGTTGTAACAAAATCCGATAAATTAAAATAAATTGTGATAAGCACGGTGTTCATTGTGTTAGAGCATCGCCAGGACCTGCAGCGCGAAGCGGTCGTTGTCAAAGTTTGGTTGGCGAGGGGCGGGCGGAGGGGACCGATAAACTTGAGGAGCGGGAAGTGGGGTAATGACGTAATGAGGAGTGGAGGGAGAGGGGAATAAATCGGGCGATCAGATGTATGCATGTGTGAGTATGGAGTGATAACACCGATGCGCGGTCAGTGACTTCTATAATCAGGGTTGTTACAGTTAATTATTTTTTAATTTTTTATCGTCAAAAAACGCTTAGATTCGTATTTTAAAATTATGCCATTTGGTTCAAAGTCTGATATATATACACGCCTTTAAATGTTACAACACCTTTCTGTAGCACCCTGTATATACATATTTAGACGTTAGCCAGATTCTTGACGCTAAGTACGGCCCTTCACGTTAGGCCGGTTTGGTAGATGGTTTGAAGTATGATGCCCAGCTAGTACACTGTCTACCATTAAGTAGAGGGTGTGCTGGCTCGATGTCGTCCAACAGGGGCCGACCTGCTAGCAGACTGTCAATGTTCCAACATTCTATTTCTAATCTGTAGTTGCCTAATGTTGACCCTGTTCTTATATATATCGATCAAAATCTGTCTCAGCCAACCGAGATCCAACTTTATAAAGACTATCAACACAGCTCTCAGGTGTTACAGGTATCCATTGGCAGTGGTGTTCAAATCAATTGAACCGCCTGCTCGCTTGACAATTGAGCACATAAGAAATAATCATTACTCTGTTTATTAGTATGATCTTACGTGGATTATATGAACAAATGATATGTTAAATTACAGATTTCCTGACTACGAAGCGAACACGACCGCTGTGTTCGAAGAGATCAGTATCGAAGCTGTGGTGCCAACACCTAACACTGATAACACTCTAGACGCTGCCGATTCCGCGTTCTATCCGGTGTCGCTGGACGTTTCCATCATGCCGCTGAAATCGCATCAGTATACGTTCGACAGCGTATCAAACGGAAGCACGACTACGTACTTTCTGAATCTTAATAGCGAGGTTGAAGACCTATACTCTTTCGCTGTATGGGGCAGGGTCTTCGCAACTGACGGCGAGGACGCTTCCCCGCCGCTCGTGGAGCTCGGGGACAATTCCTCCTCAATCCAAAGCTTTGCGATCATTCTGCTGGTTCCAACAATTTTCTGCACGTTCAGGTGATGCCGGCTCGAATGTGTGATTTCAATTTATTACTATGCTATTTCAAATGGTATATACTTTTTAAATTAAAATCGTACGAAACTATGGTATATTATTAACTGGTATTATATATATTATTAGTAGTAAAACATTATAATTTATGAGCACACAAAGTACAAAGGCTCTGTCAAATAGTCAATTAACGCTTTCTCAGAGCTCATTCCCAGCTTTGATCTGGAGTATTTTCAATAGCGTCATATTTGTAAAAGCACTGAAACATTTTTTTTGTTTGTGCACTGTAGAAATATGAAAGTACAATAAAATGTTATTAGTTATGTTGGTTTCTTATTACCATATCCAAAAAAAATTCTTATCCCACGAAAAGGCTACTTTATGCACGGAAACTATGCACAGAGTCGCACTGAATGCTATCAGCATAATCTACCAGCCAACCTTTCAACTTATCAATTCCATTACGAAATCAAAGCAGTATCAACGCCGAATGGTGTAGTGCAAAATGCTTCATAGAATTTTTAACTGCAATGAACAAGCGACCGAACACCGCGCTCAGCGGATTACTGCTTCGCCAAAACCAGCGACATCCTGGACACTACAGCGGTCAAAATCTTATCACCTCTTGTCATCCTCCTTACAGTCCTGATCTAGCTCCGTGTGACTTCTTTTTTTTTAATTTATTAAGCTCACCTGCAGATGTCACAATAAAACTTACTTAGGTCATCTATACAATAATGTAAATGCTTAAAACTAATTGCACATCCAAATTATAGGCAAATACAACATTGATAGATTCACGTATTTGTAAGTAAATGTATGTTAAAAAGAAAAAAATACAACTAAAACAAAAATATTAAAATAAATATAAAAATAGAATACTGCTATTATGTTGACATAAGTGTAAAAAAAAAACCTTTATCCAGCGTAACAACACAAAAATTAGAAAAAAATGAATTTATAACAGAAAAAAAAATTGTATCTCTTGGACATAAGTTGTCAATCATGGCTTAGAATAATGTGGCGACATTGAAGTAAAGAATCGCAATTAAAATCAATTTTGTCGGAGAACTTATTTACTAAGACAAGCGCGGGATAATTGACTTAGCTCCCAAAACAGTTCTCTTAAGAGGAGGCGTTAGGGGTTTCAGTTTAGTGCGTGGACAAGAACGAGGGACATTAAAGTTAAATTTGGAAAGAAGATCTGGGCAATCTACATTATGTCTTACAAGCTTATGGAAAAATTTTAAATCAATTAAGTCTCTCCTCTTAGAAAGACTCGTTATTTTAAAATGGCTAAGTCTTTCGTCATAATGTTTTTGCAATGTGCCATAAAAACCGTTTCTGTAATCTCTCCAATCTTAAAGAATGCGTAGAATGATGTGGCCGCCAAACAACACTGCAATATTCAAGACAACTGCGCACCAAGCTGAAGTATAGTGTTTTTTTTTGTTTCTATGTTGCGAAAGACCCTACCATTTCTCATTACGAACCCTAGCATTTTTCCTGCTTTTGATACTAACCAGTCATAATGAGGTACAATTGTTAGTTTTTGATCAAACTAAATCCTTAACACTTTCAACCTCCCAAATCATTGACTCCTTTATATGATATAACGATGGAATAATATTCTTTTTACGACGAAACTTAATATGGCAACATTTGTGAGCATTTAGAGTCATATTATGTCTGTTGCACTATCTAATGAGTCTATCTAGGTCGTCCTGAATATATTGAATATCTTCGAATGTGTTAATTATTCTTGCAAGTTTAAGGTCATCAGCATAAAGAGATGACTTAGAGTGCATGAAAATAGTAGATTTATCATTAATAAATATATTAAATAAGACTGGACCTAGATGAGACCCTTGTGGAACTCCAGAACTTACACTGTGGGAAAAGGAGGGATAACCACATAGAGCCACAAAAAATTCCCGGTTTTGTAAGTAACATTGAAACCAATTTAACAAAGAACCCCAAAACCATACTTAGAAAGTTTCATAACTAGAATATGATGTGATACGCGATCAAACGCCTTACTAAAATCGGTGTAAATTACGTCCACCTGTTTCTGTTTATCTAATACATCTGTCAAAAAGTTGCAAAATGTCCCTAGATTAGTTGTTGTTGAGCGTGCTGGAACAAAACCATGTTGGTGCGGAGTCATTATTTGTTTTATGTGAAACTGAATTATTGGACATATTAAAGATTCAAAAAATTTTGCAAAAGTAGATAAAATCGAGATAGGTCCATAGTTGTTAACTAATGCCGTATTTCCCGTCTTTTAAATACGGGCACCACTTTTGCTAATTTCCATTTATGTGGGAAAGAACCAGATTTCAGGGATTCGTTACATATGAAATATAGAGGAGTTACTAAATTTTTTGCACATCTACGTATAAAAAAAAGGACCAACGTCATCAGGACCGCTACCTTTTTTATCATCTAATGTTTCAAATTTTTTAAGGATACTAATTTTATCTATAGTTATCATTGTGAGACATAACCCATTCAAATCGACATCCAAACCCATTTCATCATTATTGTTACTTCTCATTATTACCTAAAAAAATTTTACTGAAAGGAATACAGTTTACATCGCCTGAAGACGCGCTAACAGCGTTTGAGAAGGTCGTAGATGAGGTGGCTGCGGTGGACTGGAAAAATTACTTCGAAATTTGGTTCGGACCCTTATGTGTCATATAAGACTGGTGGAAAGTTCTGTATAAGATTTAATGAAAATACTTTACCCAAATAAATTAGTTTCTTAGTTTCCCAAACTTTCTTAGTGTCCCACGTAAATAGCAGCACAAAATTTTAAGAAAAGTCATACAAAGTTGCATGTATTAATTAAAAAAAACTGTGGTCATTCTTCAGTGGGGACCACGCATGTCAATGAATGTTTAGTTAAGTACCTACTTATTACCTAATAATTTATTAAAATATTATTACCTTATGATTTATTAAAATCATTATTCATCAGTAATCGACATTAAGAGTACCCTCTGTTTGATGTGCTCTACCTAATAAGCTTGACGGTCTCCTTAATAATTGCATAAGATTCGATGGGTCAGCAACTAATCGGTACAAACACCGGTTTGACAAAGGTTCCGCCGTCTTACGACTGCTTTTTTGCTTTTGCAACTTAATCCCGATAGAAACCAATTATTCATGAGACCAATGTGTTTAGGAGATTTGTTCATCTTTGTTCACTTGTGTTATATACGTTAACTTGTGCACTTTCGCATATCCTCCACTGGTTTACTATTAATAATATGGTATTAAATGATAAAAAAACTAGATGTGTTCTTTTTACTATTCCCAGTATAAGACGGCAAAGTTTTAGTTTAATATTAAATAAAGTACCCATTAATCCAGTTGAGTCTGCTGTATTTATGGGAATTACAGTAGACTCAAAGCTCCAGTGGAGTCCCCATGTATCATCTCTTGCGAATAGGCTAAGCTCCGCGGTTTTTGCGATTAGAAGGGTTAGGCAGCTAACAGACATTGACACTGCCAGACTGTTTACTTCAGCTATTTTCACAGCATCTTGTCATACGTCATTTTGTTGTGGGGTAGTGCATCCGATATGAATTTGTATATTTATTCTACAAAATAGAGCTGTTCGAGCAATCTATAATATCGGAGCCCGGAGTTCGCTCAGAGATATTTTTAAAAAAATTTATATAGTCACTGTTGCTTCTCAATACGTTTATTGTAATGTTTTGTATATTCTTCATAACCTTAATTTTTACCTAAAGAATAGTGACAGACAAAGTAAACACTAGAAATAAGGACAAATTTACTACGCCATTGTCTCACCTACAAAAAGTAAATAGGTCGTTCATGGGGCCAGGTGTGCGCATGTATAATAAAATCCCACAGTCGATGTTAAGTCTGCCGGTTGATCAATTTAAACGTAAAATCAAAAGTCTACTTATGGTTAAAGCATATTGCACTATTGCAGAATATCTCGACGACGCCAATGTGTGGAGTTAATACTATTGATACTCACGTAGGGTAGAATAAGACTATTATACCGCTATTTTATATTGTAGACTGATATTTTTGAAAAAGAGCAACTGTTGAGTTTCTTGCCGGTCTCTTCTCAACAGAAACTGCTTTCCGAACCGGTGGTACCTTACGAAGCTCTATGTATAATTTTTTATGTAAAATTTGACGATTCATAAGAACGCGCAAGCGTCTATTTGAATAAAGATTTTTGATTTGATTTGATTTGACACGTGTTGGGGTAGAAAGTTTCTCGAGTGGCAGCCTCGTACTGGCATCGCAATATAGGACGACCCCCCACTACATGGAGTGACGATCTGCGCAAATGTGCGGGAAGTCGATGGATGCAGGTGGCTCAGGATCGTACTTCGTGTCAGTTTATGAGGGAGGCCTATGTTCAGTAGTGGACTTAAACAGGCTGAAATGATGATGATGATACGTGGGTGCTTAAGACCTTATGGTCGCGAGAAAATAATACTAGAAACGACTAAATTTACTTTTAGTAAATATAGGGGAAAATATAGTACACGTTACTAACGTACGTTATTTTATTTTTTATTTTGTTATTTTAAATATGATTATTTTGTATTCTTAATCTTATAAAAAGAAACACTGATGTTTAGTTGATGTGGGTAGGTATGTATATATTTTTACGTTTCACTACTTCTTATTTGTCTTTTTAGCACCTCCTAATTTTCTCTATTTATTTGTCGGTTGACTGTTACAGAACAATTAGTGGTGTTAATATATTTTTCGAAAACCTACTTCATCCTATCGAAGGCATCCCGTAGCTCACCGCTAATATTATAGATAAACAAATAAACGCCGTACGTCGCTTGGACGAAATTAACACGACGCGCCCCGCAGCAAACGGAACCGTCCCCCGCTTCCCCTGCTCCACACCCCAAAATACCTATTTTACGTTTATTACAAAGTACTCGGTGTGTAACTGCTTACATCGCCTTATGTAAGTAGCGACGCATCGTCTTGTCATCAACGAGATATCGTAACCAAATTTCGTGATTCAGGAAGAACCGGTAGAGCGATTTTTACATTTGAGCTTGTTTATTTTCGTGTTAAAGTGGCGCATTTGACTGCGGATAATGCGTTTGTGCGCGACATGTGTACTTCTTGGTCTCGTTCTACATTCAGAACAGGTGACTATTTGGAAAGATTGAGAATATACATAATATGCTAGAATTTGTTTCAGTGAAATTTTGTTATAACAATGGCGGCGGTAAATTTTATTAATCGAATTTATATGTTCAAATGAACCCCTTTGACCTTAGACTGCAATTTTTTTTTATTGTTTATGTGGAAACGCAGAAGATATATTGTGTAGAACATATGACATGATCAAGCCTTTAATCAAAAAAGTTATTGAATATTTAAGAACATTTTTTAAGAGTAAGAAAGAACATTTGTTAAAAAATGTCATGTCATTCGTATGCTTGCCTGAAAGCCTGTTGCCTTTCTATTCTTGATTGAACAGCAAGAACTTGATGACTCCGTGGCGCAGTTGCCAAGGTATTGGCTTCGGCGTCGGGAGTCGTGGGTTCGATTCCCACACGGGACAGCTATTTGTGTGACCCACAGATAGTTGTTTCGCATCTGGGTGTTTGTCCACGTGAAATTTATGTTTGTAAAACGTCCTTACAACACAGGATTATGTTATCTTAAAGTAAGGGCAATGTAAAAAAAAAAACAACTTGATTATATTAGATTTAAAAAAACTTAATTATATTTCCACAGAGGTCGACACCTGGCGCTGACAGCTATGTCGCGGCCGTGGTGGAGTACGAAGTGAATGACAATGTCACGTACAACGTTCAAAACTATGTGAGGCTAATAGAAGAGGCTGCGAATCAAGTAAGCTTTTTGTTACACCCTACATTAATTACGAGAATTAATATTTTATTACTGTGAATGAGATAATAAGATACAACTTAAGAATTGAATGGCGGTCGTTCGTAAGCTGCTAGTACAGCCTGCTGCTTTAAAAAATGTATTAGCGTTGATGCGCAAAGTTGCTTTTAACTAGAGTTATTATATATTTTGGGCCAAAGCCAAAGCAGCTACAATGAAGTTGGACGTCCTTGCAAAGGTGCGAGGGTACTTTTCACCGGATTAGCTTCACACTCTCTACAAAGCTCAAATCCAATCGTATGTGAAGTACTTCTTCTATATCTGGGCTAGGGCTGCAAACTGCTATTTGGATACCCTGGCTGAATAGAGAGGCGTGCGGAAAGGATCAATGGTGACCTTAACTTGATTGAAACTAAGTTCACTAGCCTTGAGCACAGGCGCAGAATAGCCAGGAGTTGCACGATATGATCCATCCCGCCCGTTTCCATCATCGGAGAACCGGACGTTCGGCGGGGCTTTAGCAGTCGACGTTCCAAACACAAGTACGATGCCATTCGCTCCGTCATTTGTCATCATTACCATCATAAGATCATTGTCATCATTACATGAAACTTATCTTCTGTAAAGTGACACTTAAATTTATCAGACTTTTATGTACAGTTAAATTGTTAGGACCGTGTTTATATGTTTCTACTACGAATAACCGTTTACTCTCGATGCTTTCAGAAAGCAGATATAATCGTGTTCCCTGAGATGACCATAATGCGTAATCAGTGCACAGTATTGATTCCTTTTCACGGCGTCGTCAAACAGTTCCCTGTGCCTGCAACTCGCCCCGATTTGTACGATGAGGTAGTGTATTTACCTTTCCAAAGCAACACTTATCACACTCTTTGTTGATTCATTAGACGATCCAAGTGGTACTTAAAACCGGCCAAGTGCGAGTCGGACTCGCGCACTCGCGCACTCATCTGTGAAAATTTCGACTTTCTCACTATGATGGTTCATGAGATACAGCCCGGTGACAGACGAACGGAAGGACAGATATACAGACAGCTGAATCTTATTTATCTTTTTACCCTTTAGGTACGGAACCCTAAAATAATAGGGTGTCCAATTCATGATAGAGTATTTCTATGTCAAGGTGTTGCCGGTGCAAAAAAATTTTAATTTTGCTGTATGCAGTTTATAATAGATATTAATGATAGAACGTAATCCTATTGATCGGTAAGTGTAATGTAAAAAAGGCACCATCAAAACTGGTGTACCTTTTCTTGAGTCACTGTGAACATTTTTTAATATGTTTAAAGTTATTGGAACTGCAATCACTGACCTCCTAGAAATTTAAAATATTCGTCGACATTAACCTTTGTGTCTGGGTTAAAATGTTATTTTTATAATAATATAATCAAGTAATAGATTTAATATTGTTAATATAAAATTTACTAGTTTTTATTTTATTTTTAATTAATCAATAAACTCATAACCGGCGAACTTCAGACTTAACAATGAGCATCAAAAAGCTCAGTTCATCCCGTTGCCTGAATTCTGCAAAGTGTATGAATTTGAAGTTGTAAAATTTACATTAAAGTAGTGATAAAATTGTAAAGTAATGAAATAGCTTTATTTGACAATGTGTAATATTCGCGTAAATAAAATTTCTAATTGCTGTATTCGAAAATTCTATTGAGTAAACCATTGTTAACAGATCCTAGTGAGTATATCAAAGGCAGCCCTCGATCACCAAATCTACGTGGTGGTAAATGTCCAAGAGCTGATGGACTGCAATGACGCGCCCGAAGAATATTGCCCGGAGCGCAAACAATACGTGTTCAACACGAATGTCATTTTTGACAGGACTGGTGCCGTAATAGACAGGTAGCTTTGAAAATAGACGTGAGTAGTTATAATTAAATAGTCAATTTTAAATTAAGAACAAAATAACACTGATTGCACAATGTTTTTTCTTTTGGGTAGAAAGGTATGTGATGTTATTCGTTAATTTGAACATTTCATGGGAAGTAATGAAAAAAAAAAACTTGGAATTAATAATTGCCGATGGAAATTAATTGGCGAGAACGACTTATTATCGTGTACAATATACACGATATCAGGCTAATGCCTGAACCTGTTTCACGCCAAAGTTAATTACAGTCAAGTCATAATTAAATTTAGACTTTTTTTAATTCACATACCTATTTTCGCCCCATTGTTGCAATAAGTTTGAAAATTTGTTCAGCTAATATAGGCGCGGAAGTTGCGTCATGCAATTACTGCCAATACTCAGTATATTTACATTTATCTTATGGAATAGATAGATTGGTGGTGAAATTCGGAGTTGTGGTCGAGTCTGGGCATATTGTTCTTTATCTAATATTTGCAAGATTAAATCTAAAATTACATATTATCTAGTAAACCTTATCCTCACGGCATGGTTCTAAAAACGCATTTAGCTGCATTTCTGTAATCATACCTGCAATCTAACCTGCATTTCTTCGCTGAATAGTTATGCTTAACCAGCAGAAAAGCAGAAAACAACCAGCTTGGTTAAGTTTGAACCATTAATAAGTGCAATAAGTATAATCTTTCCACTTCCAGATACCGCAAAATTAACTTGTTCGGCGAGTTTACGCGCACGCCGGCTTTGAAGCCCGACCTGGGGGTGTTCAGCACCGATTTCGGCGTCACCTTCGGCCACTTCATCTGCTTCGACCTCATGTTCCAGGTGCCTGCTTTACAAGTAGTGGAGAAGCACAACCTCACAGACATCGCGTATTCCACTATGTGGTTATCTGAGATGCCATATCTTACTGGTTTGTGTGCTGTTACCACTACTGTTTCTACTTCCACACTCCTCATCAGTGTAAAACATCAATTTGTTTTATTCAATTAAACATCTAAAACTGCCTCTAGTTCACGAATTCAGATCAGTCCAGAATGGATACGGATAGAAGTGATGACGAAAGGATTTAAAATGACTTACTTGCGCAGTTGACCGGCTTTTGTCTTCGGCACGGGAGATTGGTGGGTAAAAAGTATTAGGAATACAAATATATATTCCTAACAAATTATTCCAGATCTGTCTTTATCTTCGTGAAAATTGGATTATATATAAAAACTATGGTTGAACAAAGAGCGGTTGAATTTTTTCTTTTAATTTTTTTAGCCACTGCTATGAAACACAAACTTATGTATCTGTCTAATACCTTTAAACGAGCAATTCTTATATATATATATATATATATATATATATATATAATCGGAATCTCGGAAACGGCTCCAGCGATTTTCATGAAATTTAGTATGTGCGTCCTTTTATCCCTGTTTTCAGGGAATGAAAAATATCATTCGAATTTATTACGGTAAATTTTGCCGAAAAAAAAATGCTATAATAGCTCGGTCGCTAATCGGGCGGCCCCGAAACAGAAAGCCGCGGTTTGTGTCACCTTCATTTAGACACTTATTTTTTTTACTTTTTTTCTATACCAGATCATTGCTTAATTTTTATTTTATTTATTTCCAAAATACACGATTTACCAAAAAAAACCGAGCAAAGCTTGGTCCACCAGGTACTTTCAATTAAATTGTAAATACTGATAATTTTGTGACTTCTATTGATTTATCCTGAGTAAGTTATTATTTACAGCTGTTCAAATACAACAAGCGTATGCTTACGCGATGAACGTCAACTTTCTTGCGGCTGGAGCGAACAACGTAAGAGAAGGAAGTGCTGGTATGCTATAAAATGATTTACTCTAATGTCTCATATTTTTATAACCTAACGAAGCTATCCCAAAATACATCTTTAGCCTTAATTTATTCTGTCTTCGACTTCAGTTTCTCCGTGTACATCAAGTCTTGTGCAACACATAAACAAAAAAGTCGCGTAGTCACAAGATATAAACACTCGAAATCCTCGATAATCTGATAACATCAATGGAAAGAAATGAATAAGGCACTACAAGTAATTTGGATGTTAATGTAAATACATATTGACATTTCAGGGTCTGGCATTTATTCCGGGAAAGCTGGTAGTCTAATCAGCGTGATGCCAGGCGTGCCCACCACGCGTCTGTTAGTGTCTAAAGTTCCAAAAGCACCTGGAAAGGTATTTCTATATTATTTATTTTGCTCATTTATGCTTCATTGCGTCTCCAGTATTCTCTAACACACCACAAGTTCTATCTACCAGTTTTACCACCTCTTTACGTTCCTGTTTACATTTTCCAATGGCCCGATTGCGTCTCCCAAGACTCTTTGAAGCTGGAGAGCACTGAACAGTAAAGGGCTTTCAGGACTTTATTGCAAATTTTTTTGGCCCTCGAGCAGTTTTTATTTTATGTTTTATGATGTCTTTGACTTCTATCGGGGCCACTAAGTATAAAGGGTTGCCGGCTGATGGTGACATAGCCACAACACACAGTAACAAAGTCCTATGTCCAATAACGGTGTCCACCATAAATGAACTGAATCGATGTGTTTGGGAGATGGATTTATTTTGATTCTATGTTATTTTCCGATAGGCATTCGGTTTTTTCGGATTCATCGAAGGTTAATGGAGCGTTAATAGGTTGAATTGGTAAGGATTTGCGAGGCCCTGCTTTCACATTTTGGGCAAACCGCTATACGATTTTAACATCTAGCTAAACTGATCTAAGCCGGATCCGGTTTAATTTTGATGGGTATATCGGTCGGAGACCTGTTAAGCATGTTTATAACCTAATTAATAAACATATCGGAAAAACCGACTGGGTTACTGCCTTGTCTCCGCTTCGATACGAAAATGCACTGGATAAATTTTACAGTACGTTAAGTCAAATAATACAAACCACACGTCCCTCTCACTAAATTTCGTTCAAAAGACTTCACTAATTGGTTCTCTCAACAATTGATTCAAACTTAAAAAATAATACCAGCGCTTTTGAATCAAATGGAAAAAAACCCCCTAATAAACTTATAACAAGTTTTCCGAGATGAGGACAAATTTTAAGAACTCGTGTAACAGCTGTTACTGCTATGTACGTTGAAGACAATCTCAAATCCAATATAATGCTTTTGATCATATATTTCTAATCGTAAGAGTAGATCTAGTATCCTAGCTTTAATGCAGTACTAAGATTATAAGTCTAGCGATCCTGAGACCATATGTGGAATGATCTCGGATTATTTCATGTCAGTTTTTGAACCGAAACCTTCTTCCCCGCCAGTCTGGAAACCGCCTTCAAACCATGTTGATAACAATATAACAATACTAAATGAATTAAAAAAACTTGACTCTAGCAAAGATGCAGGCCCATACGGCTTTTCTGTATCGTGGGGTCTTAAGTCGGTGCGAGTCCGACATAGCCCGCTCTTGCCCCTGCCAGGGTATACGTTGGCACTTCCCCCACGTCACAAAAAAAAAAGAACGGCGTTTATGGTTCGGGAATAAAAACCAAGGGCTCTATGGACGCGTGGTTTTTGCAAGCCGTAGGTTTTATGCATCACACATAACATGTTTTCGTGGCTTTTACGGAGTCCTAGTTGTGTGATGCAGTTTTTTTGAAATTTACGTGTAAAAATACCGGGCATGTCGGTCATCGCTAACATTTTTGTTCTCTCTTCTATATTATTTATTCTCTCATTTGAAACATTTCTTCTCTCTCTTTTTGTAGCTGTTTTGTTCAATTTTTGTACCTACACCGGTGCAGAAAATTCTATGCGACTGTATTTGCTGAGAATGGGCCACTTAATCCAACTTCACGAGGATATCAGTCAGCAGATATATTTTTTTGTGCAATCTGGGTTGCGAATTGCATTTGTTTCGGTTAGAATAAGTCTTCCGTAGTATGAAAAATCCACCGTACACGAGCTCGGAGCGGGATGTCATCAAAAGAGTTATTATTATAACTAACATAAAGATAAGAACAATTACAAATACAATTATACCTACCTAACTAACTGGCTAACTGTTAACAGTTGGGATGGTGCCACACCATTAATTTGAATCGTGCCACACCATCCCAACTGTTAACAGTTAACCAGAGATGAATGAATAAATATTTGAATAATAATAGAAAATAACCCACATTGAAACATACTATATGTTAATAACTAAATTCTGTTAATAAAAAATTAGTAGTTTTGAGAATTGTCAAAAACAAACTTACTTTTTTACAATGACTACCTAAATATGCTTCTCTACACTATTGTTGGAAACGACATTTCTTATAAAACAATAGGGTGTTGGGATGTGAGCTTGCGTTTTTATTTCACAAAATGTCTAATTACACAACCTATTATGTGAAGTCCACAAAATTAAAACTTGTCGAAATTTTATTCCAAAATAATTCAATTATTTAAAAAATATAGACTTTTATTGTATTATTCTAGACATCAGACTCGTATAAGCTTTTATTTACAGGTGAACGAACCCTATCCAGGTCCGATCAGAGATGATCCAAAATCCCTGGATAACTTGGTGCTGATCAGCGATCCCTCGCTACCTTCCCACGTCAGTCGCCCTCTTGTGCAGGGCTCCCAGGAATTCGTACTCACGAACAACGAAGTCTCTTGCAAGTTCAGAGTCAAGCTGCGATCTAGAACTGGGGAACAGGTGAGCTGATAGCCAAACTTGTTTTGTTCATGCATACAGCATGTAATATGGATAATGCAATAATTATATGCTGTAAGATATTTTAGTGTTTTGACTATCAATAAGTGAGTGTAATGATCCTATGTTGAATAAAAACATTTGATTTTTTTTTATTTTTAATCAAAATTGATAATTCTAGGTCAACTGGAAGTAACCCATAGGTTTTGGGTCGAAAACCTATATGATAGTTCCCGTTGTCCTAGAATCACGAAATTTGGCAAAAAGCAAGGTCTTACAGCAAAAATAAAGAAAAAATTCCGGAAAATAGAAAAAGTTGAAAATTAAGGTGAATTTTGGTACTACAAGTTTGACTCACGACCCTGATTTTTATGTACACCTAACATAACTGTGGTATGGCCATGCAGCAGCCTTGGCTGTTGCACGAATGGACAGGCTGGTCCGCGTAAGTACCACGACCTCACAGAAGACCGGCGTTAAGTGGAGGTCTAATACTTTCGCGTTTCGTCTGGTGAGTGAAGTAGCCGGTGCCTAATTTTCAAAAGGTTACCAACGCATCTGCAAACCCTCGGGTGTAGCAGATGTCCATGGGCGGTGGTATTCACTTAACATCAGGTGAACCGCCTGCTCGCTTGGCAACATGTCACAAAGAAAAAATAAAAAAACATCAATATAGACCTCAGTATCTGGTACCAATTTCAACTTGATATGTCCACCCGATCCGAGAAAATCGATGGTGATTATTTACCATTTTGTTATGGTAGTATAATGGGTTGGTACGGAACCCTCGGCGTACGAATTCAACTCGGACTTAACCGGGCTACGACTTCAAAGTCGAGCCTGTCGGATAGCGAGTCAAGTGCGGTGCCTCGACTGTTGGTACGTGTCGACTTCCATCGGGTGTGCTTGCTGTTGAAGTCGCCAGCAAGTATGGTGGCTCCTCCTAGTGAGAAGAGGGCCTCAAAATCAGATTGCAACACTGTTGCTGTTGGTCTGCACGGAAGGTATATTGACGCTATAGTGATGGGAAAGTGGTCGGTTAGTGCCAGCTGACAGAGCACAGCTCGGAGGCCTCGAGATGCGTGAGCACGGGCGTGACTACCGGTACGCAGTGGAGAGATTTTTTATAGTAAAAAAGTGTGCCGCCGCCCGGGGCGCCGACACGATCGTTCCTAATTATTCGATAATTGGGGATGTTTGGATCCCTTGTCGCGGGTTTCAGGAACGTCTCCTGAATTAGAAGTATGTCGATTTGGTGGTCGCGCAGGAAAATGCGTATTTCGTCGCGTTGCTCTTTAAGCCCGTTCGCGTTGTAGAAGGCTACATTAATCGATCGCGTTTGACTCTGCCGTTATTACGCGTGGCAGAGAGACTGGTGTTTGCGGTGCTATTGTTATTATTATTAAGGGGTGTACTATCCATTTTGGGTTCCTAGACAGAAAGCGCAGCAACTATGTGCGGGTATTGGTTAAGGAGTAGGATGCGGAAAGAGAAGTCACCTTAGCGTATTGCTCGGCGAAATACATTACTTCCACCATGTTGTCGGTTCGGAGGAATTGGCTTAGCGAGTCCAGGGGGTTACCTCCGGTCGCTGGGGTTGGTGGGACTGGGATTGGAGCCGGTTTGGGTGCCATGATAGCAGGTTCGGTTTGGCCCAAGCGGGGCCATAGGGTTCTGCTACGCGGGGCGTAGAGGGGGGAAGGAGGCAGCCGTTGGTACGGGTGGTCTTCTAACTGCCTGGGGGGCAGGTTTAGCGGGTCTGCGCTTTGGCGCGTTGGGACAGCCAAGGTAGTTGGCTGTGTGGCCTTCTTTTTGGCATAATACGCAAGCGGGAGGCCCGTAGCTAACTACAAGTGCCTTGTCTTTAGGCCGGGGGCAGTCTGGAGTGCCGTGGTCTCCTAGGCACTTGACGCACCTGGGCCTGGCGCTATTGAGCTACCAATGAGCAACTTTTATTTCATAAAATAAATTAGACTATTTTTACATTATGTAAGCTTGCTCGCGCTTTCTCTTTAGTTCTTATGTTGGTGCGATTGTTTATATTGACGACCCTGTAGTGACCCTGCCCCTTGCGCCAATGGGTGTGGGTCGCTTCCCATTACTGGAAAAATATTTTGTGATGAACATAGTGTTTTTTCAGTGTCTGGGTGTTTATATTTTTATAATATTATATTTATTTACACAAGAAAAGTATGTTTTGTATCCATAGTACAAGCGTTGCTTAGTTTGGGCCTAGAAAACGTTGTGTAAAAATGAGTCCTGTAAAATTTATTTATTTATTTATAGTATTACAGGTACAGGGCGGGGGCATTCGATGGGGAGCGAAATTCCAGACGCAAGACCATTGGCAGCATCAGGCTCTGCTCCGTGTTCGCCTGTACAGGAGACACCGTCGACACATGCGGCAGAAGGTTTGATACAAAACCACGTAACGTAACTGCCGAAACCGTCATTGTCAAAGCCGCAATAGCAGCGGATAATAGTGTACCAGCAGTTTTGTAAAAATGGACCTTTAAGAAGAACATAGTTGCTTTTCTTTAAAGCCCTAGTCTAAAAGGATGACCCGTTTTAGATAAGGGCTGTCAAGAAAATCTTAAATAGTATGTGTAGATATTTGTAATACCCCATTACATGAACCAATGTGGCATATGATCCAAAGAGTTAGTTGTCTAACCATTGATTCGCGAAAAGCGAAAATTTTCATCGATTTACACAAGTAACAGGACAAGTAAAAGGACAAGTAACGTGAACACAATCCGATGATATTTCCTACATTTACAACTTCATCAAAATTGTTTGTATGCATAATGCTAATTTAATTTTGGAATATTATTTAAAGGCCTACACGATGAGTGATGACAGAAACAAATTAGTATCTATATACGAAGATACAGGCCCTTTTATCACACGTATTAATGGCCACGTGCCCTTTTGTGTATTCAGTTGTTTAATGTATATAAATCGATAAAAAGTGTTTGTAATTTTCGGATTAATGAAGAGAGGCTAACGAGGAATACATAAGCGCAAAGTGTTTGGAAAAATCGATATTCGACCAGAACGGTGATGTGGTCTGGGATGCGTATATATTTGCATAGCTGATGAGAATATATGGAATGAGAATTATAAAGATGTGGAAGTAACGAAAATTAATAAGAGTAAATAATATTATCGTTATTCTCTTTTAATCATGTGCAGGAGTAAGTGTTACGTTTAATTACAGATTTCTCGAATACGAAGCTAACGCGACCGTTGTGTTCGAACAGATAAGTATTGAAGCAGTGGTGCCAACATCTAAGATTTATGCGACCCTAGACGCCTCTGACTCCATATTCTACCCGCTGTCGTTGGATGTGTCTATCATGCCGTTGAAATCGCATCAATATACGTTCGAGGGCGTCCCAAACGGAGGCACGACGACGTACTCTTTGACACTGAACGGCGAAGTCGAGAACCTATACTCCTTTCGCAGTGAGGGGTAAGGTCTTTGTATCTTATAGCGAGGAGCAACCATCGGTTTTCCCGCCCCTCGTGGAAGATGGTGACAATCCCCCCTGAATCAAAATCTTTGCGTTAATTTTGTTCATCGATTGTTCAGGTTAAGATGATGACGGCTGCAAAGGTTAAATCAATAACCTCCTTTTACCTCATTACTTTGGTACATAATATTTAATTAAATTGCGCCATAGCTTTTGTGGGCAGCAAAACATTATCATAAGCAAGCACACGCCAGAGTTAGCCGTCAATGCATCAATAAATGACTTTTCAAGGTTCCTTGTCATTGTTAATAATAGATAATTTTCAGCACGATCTACTGTTAATTTAGTTTGGGAACAATAGAAATATTAAAGAGAAATAAATTCTTATTAATTATATTTGTTTTTTATTTCCTTGTTTTAATTAATTATATGGACAAAAGAAGTTTATTACTTAACCCACGAAAAGGGTAGCAATAATCAAAATAACATAATGTCTACCAGTAAAGAAAAGTACGGCAAATGATTTAACTTTATGTTTCTATGACCTAATGTTTAATATATAATATATAAGACGTAACATATTATAATTTACCTAATTTATAAATTGTTATGATTGATGATGAGTATTAAGAATATTTTATCATACTTATGAACTATTGGTCCCAATCAGCATTACTTAAAAATTGTTTCTCCTGCCCTTATGAAAAAAAGTTCATACTCGTACTTACAAAACATGTTTTGATAATAAGAACCACCCGTGCACTGTGGTTTTCGTTGTAAATATCTTCACGGCAAATCAAAAGGTCTCTTTAAATCCAAGTTAAAGAACACATAGCTCACGGGAATCGTACGGTGAGAAAATTTAACATTTTCTGAACACTTACAGTCGATCAAAACCATTTATTAAATTAAATATGATTTTACTCCTCAGGGATGCTCTGTGAGGCTATTGGACTAATAACATCCTCTATAAATGGATGATGGATATCTATGGATAGGTTATATTCCGCTTTGAAAACCAATTTAACAACCAGACCAGACAGACCAAACAGACTTTAGAAAACAAAATAAATAAATGTTTATGTGATGTGTGTATATTAAAAACAATAATATATTATTGTAATAATGTAATATACATACCTTAAAATAAATTTATATTCCGTTAAAATAATCAATATATATTAACAGCTACTTAAAAGAGATATAACGCAATGCGATAAAAACTTGATATCTTTATAGCAAACAAAACTGAATAATTCAAGGACGGTCGACGTATGACTCGTTTGCACACGTCTGTCTGATTTTGCATACGCCACAGACAATTGAATGTTATTAGGCTAAGCGCGAGTATTAGTTCTGCATTTGGGGTTCCGTATATCCAAATTAAATTAAGCACAGGTATGTACAATGAAACAGAGATAATGTTAAGGAAATCAACTGCGTGGGAAGCCTGTCATTTTCATTATCACGAATTGATAGTATAATCCAAGTCTGTACAACAGTCAAATCCAAGCTTATCAGTACTACAAGATCAAGATTGAAAACAAATCTTGGGTCATACCAAAAATAAAAAATACTATCTACTTTAGAAACAGTATCCTGCTAATTCAATTTTATTAAAAATCAGGGGGTGTTATAGACAAATTAGAAAAGGGTTCATGAACATTAACTGTAACAATAATTATGATACCTGCGAATATATGGTATCATTAATTAGTCGACAAAAATGCAATAGTAAGCAAAACATCAGTTATGATGACTCGAAATGACAATTTATATCATAATAATTGCGTTATATTCTCGTTTTTACCAGTAAATTGCACACGATAAGATACTTATCAAATTTTTGTTATATAATTTGAATGTCTGTTATTTTCCGCACGTTCCTATTAACTCGTTTGAACAGATGACTAGTCAACTCGTTCTCCTACTAAGATATATATCGTCTGCAGTTGAATGAGATCCTCCCACTGTGATACATGTGTTCGCCGTAAAGACAGTTTGAGTGGACTTCAAAAAGATATAAACTATGGCTCAACCGAAACGCGTGCTTGTAATTTATACCGGTGGGACCTTTGGTATGCTGAAAAATGAAAAAGGAGGTCAGTAAACCATTGACGCAATTAAAACTAGAATTATGGTAAAATATAATTATTTTCCGTATTCATTCGAATTGTTTTTTTAACAATTAAATTATTTTATAATAATTGTTTATTATATATTTAATGAGATTTAATTTAACATTTAATTAACAAAAATAAAGTATTCGCTATTATCTTCACAATAACTGATAAATACTAAATAAACTGGAATACGAATTATACTCTCGGCTGTGATTGTGGTTTCATAAGTTAGGGAATGAAACCATAGTTAATCGCGAAACAATCCGTAATTTGTGTCATTTAATTAACAATATGTATTTTCTTAATTAGTTTAAATACAATATCAAATTATCCCGTAAATTAGTATATTTTTAATAAATTTCAAACGTTATAATCTTAAATTTTTTGATTCGAATTTTTTCAACAGTTTTGGTACCACAAAAGAATATAGAAGCCGTGATAAGAAGGTTGCCGCAGCTCCACGACAATGATTATTGGCAGAAAAAGTTAGAAAATACAAAGTTGAAAGAATATCTCGCACTACCTGGTATGTATTATAACAAGTATTGAATTTTGTATAACTCTTTAAAGACGCGGCATCCTAAAAAATTCAATATTACAAAACTTAGTTACGTCATCGTATGCCATGCTAATTGATTACTCCGTGGCGCAGTTGCCGGGGTAGGTACCGGCTTTGGTGCCAAGGGTCGTGGGTTCGATTCCTCACGAGGCAACTGTTTGTGTGATCCACAGAAATTTTTTTCGCATCTGGGTGTTTCTCCACGTGAAATTTGTGTATATAAAACTTCTTTATAACAAAGGATAATGTTTTTATAAAAATAAAAAAAATGTAAAAAATACTGAAAAGGAGAGAATAAACAAGACGACCTCTTATGTTTTATTACATTTCAAGTAATTTCTGTGGAAGCGATTGTAATTTGAATTATAATTTTTTTCATCTATTAATGACAGACGATTAAGTGAGGCTTATTGTCATCGGTATATTATTGCGTATTATTCACAATCAATCAAAATCCTGTGAATATATCCCTAACGAGAGGTTTTATAATTCGTCATGCTTTACAAAATAAATTCAATACAACAGAATTTATAGTAACGAAACACATATGTACGATTATTTTGTATCAAACAATTGTTTTTTGTATTGCAGACGGCAAGGACACGGAACAGAAAATATTATACAAGATTCTCGAATACGATGAGCTGAAGGATTCATCGGATTTTACTCTAGATGACTGGCTGAAGATGGTCAGGGATATTAAGGTCCGTAGTTTACCATGATTCTTTATAGGATTTTTTTTCCATTATACTATTAAATTTAAATTGTTTATAGTGCTAATCTTTGAACTTAAGATATACACTACTTTTCTAAATATTTGAATAATTATACTACTTGTTTTTCTATTACTTCATATACATAAATGTGCAATAAATTGATAAATATATAAATTTGCTATGTTTTGATTTTGATCTGAAAAAATGCGACACGAAATAGGTTTCATTATTTAGACATTTTACCGTTGTATTTAAAAAACAACGCCAAAACAGCGCATAATGGCATGTAAATTAGCTGATTGATGGCGCCAAGTATATCTCAAAATGCAAAATAAAAATGGACAGTTCCTGACATTTTCGGGCAGTGATGCTATCGGCCGCTTAATTCTGTTAGTTACCCAGAAAATATTTGGTTTTCTGGGTAGATGACCGGTCAAGATCAGTGTTAACTGTTATTTCAGCAAGATGTGATCACACTCTATGCTAAACAATTACCATTAACTAAAGCGAGCAAGCATTATTATCGCTTGATAATTTTATTTCCTACCGATATAACTCAAATGTTAAGATTAAAGTGACGAAAAGTATTCCTTCAACGTCAAGGGTCGACATCAGGTCAAACTAGTCGTAAGAAATCCGGCCAAAACCACTAACGTGATTTACAAGTTGTGCCGACCCGACCTTGGAGAGATATGGCAGGAAGATGATGAAATAGCCCGTTTAGCAGCTATAATGCTTTGTCATCGTGATGAATCGTTTCGTAGAGATAAGCTTTAAAATTAGAATGGTTTTACCGTTACCTGCCCTCAATATTAATTACAACCGTTTTAAAAACTTAGAAGGAATTAGAAATCAAAATAATCCTTTCACGGTTTTGAATTTTTTGCGAATTATGCACATATAAGTACTCATTAAAAATTCAACGTCAGTAAATTTATTTTTTAAGAAGATTTAGTACTTAATATACGAGATTCAGTTTGATTGCCGGAAGGTAATAATAATCCAATTTTCTTGTAAGAATTATACATGGGCTATCTTTCAACGGTATTAGAAATTTTGAATAAATTACTGTTTAATACAAAAGTTGGATGTACTACTTATCACTTTAGGTTCAAACAGTTGTTTATCTCTTACAATATTCTGTTTGTATCATAAGAAAGATAACATTATTTGGATCAACAAAGATAAGATAAGGAGCACATTGAATTGTTACTAATATGATATGGGTACGCGATGACTCTGCCACTAAGACCATACCTTTCTAGTTAGGGTCTTAGTGGCAGAGTCATCGCGCCGCTAAATATTTTGTCGGGGATTCGAATCCCAGTAACATTTTTTTATGTGGAAAGTTGTTAAGCTAACTGGCGATCACCTGATGTTAGATGAATACCGCTGTGCTTGGACATCGGCAACACCTGAGGACTTGCAGATGCGTGGAGAACTAAAAAAAAACGTTCCTCGATTACGTAGGACGGTGCTTCCCCGGATTATCGTGCCCATTCGTGCACCAATAGAAGTGCGTTTTCTGAGAAATTATGCATTTGGAACATCAGTTTTCTCACGGATTGGACCATCAACGTCATTGTTGGCGGCAAATTCTCTAATCAAACATTGTAAACATAAATCATGCTACTTAATTCGACGATCAAACACTGGTTCTAATTGATATTTTTGTCCGTAAAACCACGTATTTCTCATTACAGAGGTTCTACCATGATTATGATGGTTTCGTGGTGCTTCATGGAACAGACACTACGGCATATGGTGCATCGGTGCTGTCATTCATGTTGGAGGTTATTGGGAAGACGGTTGTGCTTACTGGGGCCCAGGTACAAATTGGAGATTTTATGTTTATAAATTAATATATTTCATAATTTTATAAGTCGATTATCTAAAATATTTACACCTACAATGCTATGTAAAAGAGTTTATCGATACCGATAACCGAGTTCAATGGCACATCGGCAGAAGTTACTCCGTGGTCCTTTACGATTTGAGAAAAAAACAGGTTATCAGTCTTGAATATCGATGTTTACTCGTCTTCGTTAGCGGCGGCTCTTTCAAGAAAGACGAAAACAGATTAACAGATTTTGAAAAGATATAATTAATAATTAATTAAAAACTTAATGGGAAAGTTATTGTAATTAATATAAATAATTCATTTATTGAAAGAAATATATATGTGAAATAATAATAAATTAATCTATAATAATTATACAAAATTAAGTTAATATTAAATAAAAATATTAAAACAAAAAATAATAACCTATATAATAATAGCTATTGCTTACTTTTTAATGATGTAAGTTTGAATCTGATTAATTTTTGACTAGTTTCTAGTTCAGATATCGATTATATATAAAATAACTGGCTCTACCTTTTTTATATTACCACTTATGCAGTTTTAAAATTAAATTACTCATCCTCAGATCCCAATTTTCCAACCACGCAGTGATGGCACTAACAACTTCTTCTGTGCCGTTTTGATCGCCGCAACTCTATACATACCCGAGGTCACCGTTTTCAGCGGCTCGAGACTCATTAGGGGCTGTAGGTAAGGTTTAATGTTAATGTAATAGTTACCTTTACCTGTAATTTCATTAGTGTAGATATCAAAAGAAATTTCCAAGTGTAACTGATATTTCCGCATATAATTTCGGTCGAATGATTAAAATTATTGCATTTTCTTTTAAAAATTTTCTCCATTTCCAACATGAAACGGCATTTTGGGCAAATTTAAATTTTTAAACAGAAATATACAAGGTTAAAAACATGGCGAATTTGTATGAGTTATTGCATGAACAATTTATTGGATTTTAAATAAGATTGTTTTTAAAAGTAATTTCAAATAAACAAGGTCTTCTCATAAGGTAATATAATTGTAAATGTAAAATAATTTTGCAGGGTAAAAAAAGTATCAAACACTCGAATTCAAGCCTTCGACTCGCCCAACTACCCGCCGTTGTTAGAGGCAAAAACAATATTGGACATAGATCCAAGAACGCAGCTGTACCCCCGAGGATCAGTACCAGACGAGTGCAGAATTCATGACAAACTATCTCCAAAAGTCTATGTACTCAGAGTTGCGCCTACAATCACACCAGAATTAATAAGAGCAGTGTTTGAGGGCATGGAAGGTATGTGTGCTCTTTTAGTTGCCATTTGCGTTACTGGGTTTTGTATTCGCAGTTTTAGCTTTGCCTCCTTTTAAAACACCACTCCCGAATTTGGGAATAATCCATACATCGCGGGGAGTTTGATGTATTTCATACTGATCAAACTGCCCGCTCGTTGACAAAGTACACTCCGTCGCAGAACAACTATTTGTGGATGACACAAAGTTGTTTCAAATATGGGGATCGAACCCGCAACACGCGCTTATTAAACAACGAGACCTGTTAAACTCGATTGTGATTTAATGGGAGTACCTTAACTCAACTTTTATCTAAAACTATGAATTAATCAATAGTCAAATCACAACAAGACATTTTAGGTTTGTGTTTATTTTTTATAATTTATATCTTTTTGTGATTTATATATGTCGCACTGTCGCTTTTTTCGGCATTATGGCAGTAAAATATTTTTGCGTGATCTTTGAAATTATGTAAAAGGCGGAGACAGTTTGAATAATAACGCTTTTATTCAAATAGCCGGCTATGAAATATTCCTTTGAATTCTTTTAACTTTACATATTTTCATGAACTCTGCTTAATTAAATGGCGCCATTTAATCCTAAATGAAAAGTTATTGCATGTGTGTACTTTAGACAAACAAGAAACAGAAGAAGCTTTCACGCCTTTAAGTTTAACACTGTAAGTTTGAAATCTGTGTCCCAAATAAACCGTCACTAAAATTTAATTTATAAATGTACCTGGGAGATATAAGTAATTAAAACGATTTCATGCCATGATCAAGTTAAATGATCAACGTACAGCATGGACGTTTACCGCAGAATGTTTAAAAAAAATCACAATTAGCTTACATTTATTGGCATAACTTCAATAGTACAGAAAAAAAGAAACTGGTGTTAGAATCCGTACTTTCGTCCTTTCTGTCAGTTATTGATATTCGGAGCAAGTTTTAATGCACTTTTTTTCAGGTGTCGTATTAGAAACATATGGCAATGGAAACATCCCCATAAAACGGAAGGAGATCTATAAAGAAATAGAAAGAGCTGTGAAGAACAATGTGATCGTTGTAAACGTAACGCAGTGCATTAACGGAACGGTCCTGGGCAAGGCGATATATGAAACTGGATTGGTGAGTTTACATCGCACCTTCTTTTCCTTTACTTATATTACAAGAAACATTTGTGGTGGTTTTACAACACTGGTTTGTTGGGCACAGCTGCCTCTGGCACTACCAAGAAGTGCATCTCACGGTAGACTTGAAAATTTTGAAGTAACCACGGCGTACCTTCTCAAATATTGGTTACAAAACTACTACGCTACGGGACTTCTCTCTCGCCAGCCTTTATCTTTACATACTTAACTTCTCGCATCAGAAAGTAACAAGAGGTTGTGTTTATTTTTAATTTAAATTTTGATATTCGTTACTTAAACCACACGTCTGTTTTTGACATTTTGTTATGTGTAAATTGTTATTAGAGCAGGCGGTTCACTTGATGTTAAGTGAATACTGCCGCCCATCAATATCTAGAATACTCAAAGGCTTGCAGATGTGTTGAGATTAAACAAGTTGGTAACTCAAGACGAAACGCAGAAGTATAATACTTCCGCTTCACGTCAGTTTCCTTCCCTTACGGAAATTCTACGATTTATGTCGTGCTCAGCGACGAAGGAAAACATTGTGAAGAAGTTGCACATTTTTGACGTCGAAAACAACAAAAAATTATATTACGCAGATATGTGATATTTGGCAATCCGCGGTGGGGTCGCGTGTCTGATTATGCCCTGATACATTATGTAGAGGCCTTTGAAATGGCAAACGTAACTATTTTAGCCTTGTTACTTTAGTTTGTTTTCACTTTTGGTAATAGAAAATGAATTTCTTTTTTCACAGTTGCTGGTGGAGTGCGGTGTAGTGCCCGCATTTGACATGACCGCCGAAGCTGCCCTAGCTAAATTGTCTTACGTCCTCACCAAGACAGAGTTGGGTTACAATGAGAAAGTCGAGGTGCGTAACATATATGTTATTATACATAAATAGAAGAAACTAAATGAAAAACAAAATCATAATAAAATATGTTCTTAACTTTTTAAAGTTGGGAAATTATTAAGTTAAAAATTACGATAACTCAAAAAGCGACACGATGAAGTTGGCGAAGGAACCAACTTCACGGCATTACCATGATAGCCAATAACAACTTTTTGACGTTTACCGTTGATTCAAGTTATTTAAATAAACCGATATCAATTGCATTTAATGTCTGTACTCGAAAGAACTACTATAACTTCTTTCGTGTTTACAAAAGTACACATATATTTTTTTTAAAACTCAACTGTTGTTTATCCTAATTGTATATAAATAATTTTATTTTTATTCAAATAGCAATAGGTTTCTTTTTTTTTAATGCGAAAAGTTGCCAAACGAGCAGACGGGTCACCTGATGTTAAGTGAATACCGCCGCCCATGGACATCTGCTACACCCGAGGGTTACAGATTATTGACAACCTTTTGAAAAATTGGGCTCCGGCTACCTCACTCACCAGACGAAACGCGAAAGTATTTGTCATACTTCCACTTTACGCTGGTCTTCTGTGAGGTCGTGGTACTTACCCGGACGAGCCTGCCCATTCGTGCAACAGCCGAGGCTGCTGCATGGCCCTACCACCGTTCTTCATTTTTTATAAGTATATTATGGATTAGAAATGTATATATCAAGGTTGTAAATGAGTCACATTACACGAGAATCGAATAAATAATCTGTTTCGCTGAAGGCGAATATTTTTATGTACTATACCAAAATAAAATTAAATCAATGATTTAACATTATATAACAACTAATTTAAGAGGAAGAAATATATGATAATAATATTTTATCTTCTTTTTCAGTTGATGAAGACGAGTATAAGAGGTGAACTTTACAATCCGGCCCACTCGGCGAACTAAGAAACTAATCTTATTTAATGATTGTGTTAATTATAAAATAATATTCCATTCATATATGGAACAAGTGACTTTACTAAATTAATGAAAGTGAAGTTAAAAACTAACCTGAAACGTGTCCGTGGCAGATGGTGGAACATTTTAATATTGTTATTGTTTTTATTTCATCTTGAAATTGTATGTACCTTTGAATACACTTTTTAAAAAAGATGACTTTATTTATCCGTAATCCATAAATAGATTAATTATGAAAACGATAACGAAAAATAAATAAAAAATATTGAGCATAAAGCATATACTTATAATATAAATGATTATAAATGTTATACTTAAAATGTAATGGAAATATATGTAATATGTATATTTACAAAAGTACTAGGGGCTACTCGTAGAGAGGTTTTTCAAGTAGAACGGAATGTCTACAGCAGGCTATTATGTTAAAATGAATTCCCTAAAAATGTACTCAGCAAATCTACTAACAGGCAATATTGCATTAAGAAACAACTAATGAAAAAATTCGCATGAAAGTGATCAACTCTGGTTCAAAAATTGTAAATAGATATGTACCTAGATATTATGCAATTGTTACTATTTCATGATGTATGTTAATAATGACATTGATTTACCTTCACTTATTTATTTTTAAACAGAACTTGTTCCAAGTTTTTCAAACAATTTCTACTTTTTATCTTAATTTAAATAATGAGTAATATAAAACAACCTTTAACGTTTGTAACAATCACCTTAATCAAATGACACTCACTTCTGCAGTATTCACCGAAATTGAGGGGATCGGAAGGGAATCCGATAATTCTGAAACGTTTATTGCTCAAGGGACAAAGTTTGTGACGGAGTGTAAATTGACGACACCTGTAATGGAAATGTAACGTTCATTTGAGACGGAATAAACGTAACAAACTGCGAGATGTGCTGTAATAGGATGTGAATTGCTCACCAAATTGAAATACATTTCATGCTTATCCGTATATATAAGCGACTAGTGTACTGATGTTATCCTTTATCAAACAAAAGGAATAATCAAAAGTAAATTAAAATTTCCCTTTATTCCTTTACTAAAATTCGTTGAAATGTCTAATAAAGATATTATATAGCAAATATTTTATATCACATTAATTTATATTATATGTAAAAATATTCTTAATGTATTTATTCTATCAATTTGTATTATTTCGTGATATGTGCTTTGCGTTGTCTATATATATATATATATATAAAGTAGTAATTATGATATTGTTGACATTTATAGTTAAACTTATCTGTGCGTATCTTATGACGTGTCTTCAATATAGCTCTACCTCATCGCAGTCTATTTTGTTCGATGAGTTAACATCACGTGAATCAAATTACGAGGGAAATCGATAGATTTAGATCGCTGAGGATCGTGTTTCATGGCGGTCTGTAGGCAAATCCTATGTTCAGCAGTGGACTCAAATAGGCTGAAATTATGATTATTTCGAACCACATCTCTAGCTTCAAATTTAATATCAAAGGATTTATTTTTAAAGCGTATTACGATCGCTACTTTTATAAAAGAAACACGTTTTATAGTCGGAACGCTGCAATTTCTTCAAGTATAGGCTTTGCTTTCCGCTAAGCTTGTCATTGGCCCCTTCAATAAAACTTCAGTGTGGGATATCCTTTGACCCTTCATTAAATCACCAAAAATTTTTTTTTAACTTTTTATTTTTTCACTTTTATTATTATAAACAAAGTCTTTGAAAGAAATACGTGCTTCCATTCTTAAGTTTACATTTGCATTCTTTTATTTGTTGAACCAGTGTATTGTATGTTAGGCTTATCGTATAAAATGCCTGCCTCATAATTTAAATATTGGTCTTCAACTTATTAATTTAGCTTTTGTAGTTCATACAAATCTCTTCCACCAATTTCTCAAATGTTATCCTTTTCTACTAATTTTAAATGTTATCCTCTTCATGAAGTTGTAACATCAACCTATTAAATAAAATATTGACTTAAAAAGTAATATTCACCATTCAAGTTTATACTATTTTATAAAGTTACGAGCAAATAAATCGAAATTTAGTACAAAAATCGGAAACTGAAACTTACTCACGTTTTTTAAAATCACCAAATCATATATCTACGTTCAGGATTTCCATAATCTATATTGAAAATAAATAAATTTCAATCTTTAATTTCCATTCACATCCAGGATTGAATTGATTCCATCGACTTTTTTCTACATTACATTATTGCGTAAGTAAACATATTCTTGTAAATAATTATGTAGATATGTTACCGTTTGGGACGTATGTGAAACAATGCTCGACTTCACTTCGACTTTTTGATTCAATTCCTTAGAGATTCGATGAATTTAACTTATTTTGCTTTGATTTTTCACGTAGATAGTTTCAGGCGAATGATGAAATACACGTAATATCTTTTATACGAAACAGAGTAAAAGAGTTACGATCGCCATATATATTAATTGAAAGTATTGATTTTTATATCCCTTTGAGGGATTTCCAAGACCAGTAATTCCATTTGAACCGCTACTAGTGACATAAATCCATAACCGTACAAATAAAAACGTATTGGTTTGTAATGGGATAGATAATGTAACATACATTCTCTAGTGGTTGAAGTAAAGCAAAATTTTCTCCGGTCTTTAGTTTAGTGCAATGGCCATTTACAGATTAATCTCTCCACGCGAAAATTTCTGTAGTTAGTATGGCTGAGGTGCAGAGTCGCTGACGCAAACTGAAATCTGACTGGCATGACAGCCTTCCCTCGAAGCAGCTGACCCCCAGGCAGGTGACTCCCGAAGCAGCTGACCCTGGACCTCCTGCATACGACACAGCGCTCCATGTATTATGGGTAAATAGTAGTAAGTCACTATTGATTAGTAAAAATATTCCTATTTACTTTACTCATTTACACTTTAGTTTTCTTTAATACCTTTTTAATAATAACTTTTAACAAATATATCGATTACAATTAAATCGTAATAAAATTAGTGGCCAACAAAAATTCAAATTAGACTCGCAGCACGTTCATACAAATAACTTTTACAATATGGCTTAGAATTAGCTTAGAATGGCTTAGAATTAGAATTAAATTTAACGTGTTATAGCATATTACATAAGTAAGGCGATATGGCTCTCGTACTATATTGCATTGCTTCAACCCCTAGCGAGCCTTGATCTAGGGCTTTGGGTATTAAAGCGGTAAATTGACCTAATACGAAGCAGTTGTACAACAGAAATACATAATAATGTTTAACATAAGCGCTCAAATAATTGGTTTTCACCGATTAATCCATTTTATTATTTACCGATATTTTTTTTATCAGTTCAGTTTGTATACTATAATAAAGGAAATTTCCGAATCGTATATATTGGAGGTCGACGGTTAAAGAAAAGAATGTGTAATATTAACTTTCAGTGTTAAATATCAAATAATAACTAAGTTAAACATTATTTAACAAACCTAGACCACGTGGCTTGGTGCTACTGTACTCAACCTTTGAGCGAGAAATGACTTGATTTAGTAGAAAAATGGATAGTTATGGCTTGGTTATGACCATCAGTTTCTAAACACTCAGTTCTTAACGTGGATACAGTTATGCAGTTAAAATGTCAAAAACAAAAAAAAAAGTATCTAAATTAAACCAAGGTAAACTGCTAAAAAAGGTTTTTATTGGTTTAAAATATTATGACACGTATTATATTTTTACTTTATTTATTTTTGTCTATGTTCATTTATATTTACTTATACATTTAACATATGAATAAACAAAATATAAATTAAATCCAGAAAATTGATAAAGAAAGTTTTTGTTTTAATATTTATATATTAATATTATGTTCGTACTTCATTGACTTATATTTACATTAATGACACATCTAATATTTTCTAAACGCTAGCTAGCATTTTGTTATTACACTTTCCTTATTGAACACAAAAAACAGAAAAAAGCAAAAGAATTTTCTTACATTTCAATCACGATAATAACATTGCGCTCGCAGAAGTTTCCAATCTCCATTACTTTGAGAAAATCTGGTCTAATTTATGAGATTTTTATGTGATGTTAACTTAATGTTGTAAACAAACTTATTGCGGGATTGTTAACATACTTTCAGACTTAATACATCTTAGCTTTGAATGGTTAAAATCAACGGTCAATTAAGAAGAAGCTCTTGACCATATGCGGTTAGTAGACCGTTCAATGTGGTCGTTAAAGTTTTAAAGAAAGTATATTACTGGCTTATTAATTATTAACAAAGTAAACATGGAAATTGCGAAAAGTAATGGTAATACAAAGACACAAACCTTTTAACCTATCTCAAGTATTATTGTGGTACTGGATTCTATAAACCTTCCAAGTTTGTTTCGACTCGGTAATATGGATTTATCAAAGCAATCGATAGACCTTTTTACGAGCGTATCTCTTCGAACTATTGTTTCGCAGTATCTGCGATAAATATGTGTGATTATATTTGAAGGAAATCTTTGATAAATATATAATCTTCCCCTATTTACCTTATCACCTGTGTTTTATTCATTGGTAGCTTTAACATTCGGATAAAGCGATTAAATCGTCCAATTAAGGCATATGTTCGGGTGTACATAAACAGTGTACATAAAACCAGTATATACGAGTATTTGACACCATTTTTAAACTAGCAATTGACAAAAAGTACTTTTCATTTGTATTCAATTATAGATATTAATTATCATATACTAAATGTTATTGTATGTACGAGTATCCTTATTTAGCATCTAAGTTTCGCACGGATTATTAGAGAAGTAGAGCTAGAGAAGTGTCGGCCGCAATGAGAATGGTGTGAACAAGTACAACGACGCCTAAGTAGTCGTCTGTCACCACCTCTCTTGTCTCTCGACATTACCGCTTACACCATCGATATCGTGCCATTGAGTTATCACCGTCACCAGGCTGCGCGATGGCGACACGTGGAGTTCCCCCAAGAACTGAACTCCGCAACGGTATCCCCCTGCGACTGTAGCCGTTCCTGTTTAAACAATGAATTGGTTAATCGAAATTATGACGACCCGATTGGCGTAGTGGGTAGTGACCCTGCCTCTTGCGCCAGAGGGTATGGTTCGATCCCCACTACTGGAAAAATGTGTGATGAACATGGTGTTTTTCCAGTGTCTCGATGTTTATATATTTATATTATGCATTTATTTACAAAAGAAAAGTGTGTCTATGTATGTTTATCAGTTATCTAGGACCCATAGTACAAGCATTGCATAGTTTACGACTAGAAAATATTGTGTAGAAATGTGTCCTGAAATATTTATTTATTTATAATCAAGTACTCAAGTTTCCGCGAATTTTATGATCAAATAACTACGAAGTTCAAGATTTACAATTAGTGCGGGCTTTGAGCCATGAAACGTTGTTGAAAAAAAAAATGCAACTATATAATAGTTCAAAGATATGACAGACTTTTTAGAGGTTTGATACTTTCTGGGAGAAGCCAGCCACTTCGCGTAACAGCAGAAGATGCTGCGTGTAATTATCACAGTTTAACATTTTTATCAAGGCTTAGATAATGTCTGTGTTAATATAACAAGCATTTTTGACTGATTGTTTCAACTGTTTTACTATCATATATGTCAAGTTAGAACTTTTGCTACTAAAATGAACGTGTTATTTTGCGAAAATACATAATATCTTATTTTGAAGGACAAAGTATTTTCTATATTTCTATATATTTACGAAAAGAAAGCACGTATTTTGAATAAATAAAGTATGAAGTTTGTCTTTGATTTTCGAAGGCATTTCAAACTAATCAGTTTTCTTAAGTATATAAGATACAAAAAAAAAGATGTCTCAATCAAACAAATAGGGTGTCACATATCACAATAGCCTATTAATATTCCTTACGCGCAGGTACTATACGAACAGTTTATTTCGCACATATGACGTCATTCGCAACAAGAACATTAAATTCTAAGCAGTGCTGCTTCCGTATAAGGTACTCACATCTTGACATTCCAACACGTCAATCCTATAGTAAGACAGAGTGGCACAACCACGGCTCGCAATAAAACCATATTCCAAGTTGTTCGCCTTATTTACTTGTAGTTCTTCAGCACTGTATACACACATATTTCAGTGCATTCACAGAATACACACAAGCAATGCCACTATTTACAACAGAAAAGTATCAAATTACTAACACAACAAACACACATGCTACCGTATTACTATTTATAACAATAACAATAATAACTTTATTCAGACGAAGCCTAATTACATTTTAATTTATTTCTGACCCCCACACCAGACAATGCTTTGACTTTATATTTCTACTATTCGCTTTACTATTTATATTCTGCTTGTCTCAATTTACTTTTATTAATTTTATTATTCGTATTTAACTACATTATGTCCTTGCTATTACTGAAATCAATTTATAGAACACTAAAGAAACATTGTTAATTCAATATTAAGTGTTTGACCTACGAAATTTATAAATACCAAATTGAATTTTAAGACAATTTAAGTGTAGTACCAATCTTTTCTTACAAAGTTTAACACACGACAAAAAGAAGATACGACATTAAATACAAAGAAAGTCGAATACTACATTGTGCATTAATAAAAACCTGTATATAGCGATCACTGGTAAACCTAGAGACACAGTATGATCACAGCACGTAAGAAAACCCTTGAATGGAAAACTCGTTAAAGTATGTCTTCGGGGTTCGAAGTAAACAACACGTACGTACGTACACAATTCACGTCGAGCGAACGCCCATAGCAACAAGATAGGGACCCGCCGCCCATGACGACCGCGGCGGGACTAACGCAGACAGATTTTGCTACGAGTGTCTCAGCAAATTAGAAAAAGTTCACACAGACGTTGTGTTTTCAACTTTTAATTTTCCGAATCTTTGTTCAAGTACATCTTTTACGGACATCACGTATGAATGAAGCCTGGTTTTCATTAGAGATAATATACGAGTGGAGACTAAATTTTTATTCAATCACCTTCAATATTTACGATAAGACGGAGGATTCAGAAATGAAAATGAATTCTGAGCCATGACCGTTCGGGGGCTATATGTAATTACATAATTTATTATATGACATAATAGATTTCTTGTGATTACTAATAGTAATCTTATTCGCGATAGTGCATAGATAGAGTTACCACACTATCAATAATTATAAAGCAGAATATCTCTTTTTCATTTTTCATTTCAGCGCTCTCAAGCAGTGAAATCTTCATTGTTTTTTTTTCAATGTAACGAAAATAAGTACAATAGAATAATATTATCACAACTGAACAGAATTATCTTACTTCAGTAAAGTACAATAATTTGTTAGATATATTAAAACTGGCGAGAGCATACGCCTTTCTAGTGGTAGCTTATATAAATTAAAATGGTTATAAAATAATGCAATTACTAAGCGCTAAGGAACTCTTATAAGAAATAAAGCTAAACAAATAAATGATAAAATCAAACCCAGATTTAACTTTTTGAAATCGAGATCTGTGTTATTTCAGATCCGTTGGTACGCAACGCAGTTTAATCATGTAAAGAGGGGCTTTAGGGTCTTTATTCATGGGTAAATAAAACTGAACACTAAATCTCCGATTTAGCATATATGAGATTATTATTAACCATTTATAAGAATTGAAGTGGAAGAAATTTTATTTCATTTTATAAGAAATCAATCCAGACCATTGTACATTTTACAAGACTAAAACCGATAAAGATGAAGAAAGGGCAATTAAATATTAGTTATTGTTGAAGTTTATTGTCATTGTTGGAAGTTCTATTATATTTTTTTCAGTTCACCTGTTTTAAATAATCTTTTTATTATTAAGCTAACTTTGATATCATGTTCTTATTTGTAGATATCATCAATACTTTGTTTAATAGCCTATGCAAAGCTATTAAAATTAAACATAAACTAAAAAATAAATAGTAAAAATAATATTTGATTATCAACTTCCTTTTTTTAGAGATGAAGATTTTAAAAATTTAACTAGTTGTTTAATTAGGTATTCGGGCAACTAAGGCAAACAATTAATTACTCATAGTATCGGACATATTGAAAATTGTAAAAATCACGTTGTTATACAGTTCACAAATAATCGCAGTTCACAAATTCAAATCTTGGATTGAAATCCATGAAGCTGATTACTAATTTTCTTTTGTTTTTACATTGGCTATGTCAAATCGATAGAAAGAAATCTGTTTATATCTTCCTGCTATAGTAAAAACGGATGAAGCTTATAAATCTGATTTGACTAAAAGCAAAACCTTGCTCGTGAAATACTTGTTTTAAAATAGCAACATAAGTTCTTTTTATGAATAAAACGGTGTATTTTGTTTAGCGTTATTTAGTTATTGTGTGGTTTCAGTTATTGTTTGTTGTAAGAAAAGCTTTCGTTGTTCAAATTATTTTCGTGAAATTTCTAAAAAAACATGAGCCAATCTCCGATATTTAGATTGTATTTACTTCACATGTATAATACACTAGCGGACCCGAAAACAACTTGTAAAAAAAATTAAAAAAAATGTGGACCGAATTGTGAATCTAAACCATTCCCGGATCGACCTGAAGACACAAACAAAATTTCATAAAAATCAGTCCAGCCGCTTAGGAGTAGTTCAGTGATATATACACGCACAGGAGAATCACTACATAGTATAAAACAAAGCCGTCCCGCTGTCTATCTGTCCTATATATGCTTAGACCTCTGAAACTGCGCAACGGATCTTGATGCGCTTTTTTACCAGACAGAGTGTTTTAAGAGGAAGGTTTATACGTATAACATACTAATAGACTGCACACGTGCGAAGCCGGGGCGGATCGCTAGTTATATATATAAAGATAAAAAATGATCCGCAGTCTTGTGTCAACTCTAAATATAGCTCGTCATAACCATTTTTGTCCTCGATATACCGCTAAAGAGTTTCCTGAGTCTCCAGGCGGGATGATGTCAACACGTTGAGCACTTCGAAAAATCGATTCCACGAATCACCAGGCTTTTTCGTCTGTAACCGTTCCTGGTTAAAAAATCCATTGATCAACCTAAATACTCAAACGAAAATTTTAAATGCAACATGCTTCTTACCGTATTACGTTTATACCGTTACATTATACAATTTTGAAAGATAATTAAAGTTTATTTAATGTTGTCTAATTACAGTTTCATTCGTGTAATTTAATCAGTATAAAGATTAGGATTGTTAATTTGTATAAAGCCCGGGGAATTTTATTAGTATAAATTTCTGTCGAATCAAAAGATTGCTAGTAAATTATGCCAAACCATGTACTTTACAATACAAAGGCGCTAGGCCCTTACTTTAACGTAATGGAATGACAAGCTTTAAACATATTTCTGACAAGGTAGAAAGAATTTGCTCGCTATTTACCACTGAACTTAATAAACGTTTAAGATGAATTTTGATTTTTTTATGAAATAGGCATAGATCGCTTGTTATACATACACATATATTGTTTAGCTTAACAGAGTAACAGTAACCAAGTTCAGATTGCGGTAGGTTATTCTACCTACCGCAATCTCTTTTCGCAGCCCGTGTTGACTGGGAGAGAATTCCCAAATGGCATTAAGTTAAGCATAGGGTAAAATAGTAACTCTTTGAACCTTATAATTTGGTGACTTAATATAGTAAAGAACAAAATATTTCGTGAAAGACGTGAAGGGATAGAAATAAGATAAAACATTTTAAATTTGTAGGAAAATGGACGAAGAGTTTCTCAATGCCCCGGTAATCGAACCCACGTCTTCCGGAATCTTGTTAAGTAGATATGTTAAAAAACCTAGTGCAAAGCGTTTTTTCTATACACCATCGTGGTAATAATTTTTTTAAAGTATAATTCTCAACTGATGTTAAAGGAGCATTTTTTTCATCCTTGTGATCATAGGCAGTATACACATATATTACGCTAAAGTGATGTTGTGTTTATTTGCAAAGTAGTTGGCAGTTCTGAAGTTGGTGAAAGCTACTATCAAATGTTCAGTTACTTAGACAAAGCATTGTAACATTTTTTTTTCATAAACAGAGTCTATGATTACATCACCAGATACCTTCATCCAAAACATTTTACATTTGAAATTGAATTTCCATCGCTCTCCTTCAACATTCGTATACATTTTATAAAGATGAATAAGGTTATAAGAAAGGTTATAAGAAAATTACGAGCTTTTTTAACTGCAGATCGCTAGGTCGCTGTCGTTCATTGTGCCCTCTATTCGGCGTAGTTTTATAATGAATAATTACTTTAAAAAACTTTTAAGTTAAACGGTTTTATTTTATGTTTTTTTTTGTTAAATTTTTTTTGTTAATATTGTATTGTCATCTAAATTAAATGTGTGTACCAAATTTCAGATCAATCTGACAACGGCAAGGTGCTTAAATTTCAATTTCTAATTTTGACCCAAATAAATAAACAAACAAATTCCGTACGGGTCGAGCTAAATAAAACCGTTTAAAAATGAATTTTATGAATGCCGTTGAATAATATCATAATAGGCTATTTTAAAAAAAATATATGGAAAACAATAATTAAGTCAACGGCATAAAATAATTGAAAATGAAATTGATGATATAAATTGATATGAAATACAATCGAGGGAGTGAAAATATTTGATTTTGTTAAAACAGGCTCTGTTTAATTTTAAAAAATTTAGCAAGAATTAATGATTAAATCGATCGTACAACAAGTTAAACATAATTTATTTAAAAAAAAAGCAAAACCGACTTCAAATATCTAACTCACTATACATTTTCGAGAAAGTTCCCTGATGAATCTTCAGAGTTTAAGGTCCAATAATGAAATTAGTATGGGACCGCATAGGTATGAAACCGAAACGAATGCAAAAATAGTTTTAGGCATCCGATTATAAACGACGGAGTTTTTTTTATTCGAAACTGGTCAGCGCTAGACTGCCATCTGAACTGTGATAAGTGGCGATGCAGCCGACGACATTAAACATGAAAAAAAAAAACAATAAATTTAAAAACAAAAACACACAACCGAATCTGATAAAGGCGGAGTTACTCCTCCGCTTTTTGAAGTCGTTTGAAAAGGAGCCCATTTGGGACTGTCCCTGAATCGTTAAT